ATATTTGATTAAACATTTGCTTTTACTTCCCTTGGTATATTTTCAGGGTGCGCACATGATGAGATGCTATTGACAACTAGCCTAATGGTGCGTTTTAATGGTGAATTATTATGTGTACCCTACTTCAGAAGTGAACCACAGATTGTGTGTGTCTTACAAGGTCTTGCATCTGGTTATCTCTCTGCATCTGGTGAGCAACAGGGTACCTGCTTGTTACCATATTAGGAAATGATCAGCTGTGGCTGGTTGGTTGCAACTTAATTAACCCCTCCTTTTTCTCAAACTGGCTTCTGATAAGCTTATGTAAACCAGCTTGGCCTTATCCTGGCATTGCTGGCTCTCTCTATAGTTTACTGCACTTCACCTAATTACCCTCGGCGCGCATGCGCAGCGAGGGTTACTGTAGTTGGGTCTGTCTCTGCGTGTCTGTCTGTCAGTCTGTCTGTTACTCTCATCTCACTTCTCGAGTGTTCTTTCGTCTCACAAAGGATACCACCTACTGAACGGGCAATGAAGGTCAGAACTTTCGAACCGTTTTCCCTGAAACTGCTCCGTTGCAAAGCTAGAGCGCTTCCACATTGTATGGCTAATGCCGGTAGTCGCCATTTTATCGCTGGCGGATAATGCGCATGCGCTTATATTTAGCAAAGGACCGGGTCCGCTTGCTCTTTCTATCTTGAAGGCATAAGAAGTCACAACGATTGGCGTGTATCGACTCTCGCGTGCTATTTACTACTGTAGCTGGCCCGTGTCAGACTCTCTCTGCGAGCTACTTCGCCGAGGGTTTGCACTTTAGTGCTTTTCATTCTCTCTTACTCCATGTTGGTCATATTAAACACTGTCCAGTTGATGTCATGGTGTAAGACTCATGCAACATCAGACTTGTCCACTTCACCTTTCCTGGCAAACCCCTTGTATTGGTTGAGCCTGGTCGCCACATGTAGGTTTAGCCTTATAACAATGCCAGACTTTTTGTCTATGTGCAAGGTGTGATGTCTAATTGTGCTACTCTTCTGATATGGTCTGAATATGTACGTGGAGTCTCCCTGTGAAGACCCAACCTTTTCTCTGCAGGTATAAGGCTGCTCCTGAGATGGCGCTGAAACTTTTCTTTACCTCTGTTGCTCTAACAGTGTAATTCACTGAAGTCCCTAGGCACAGTGAACAGTCGTTGAGTCACTAGAGTCACTGGACAATGACTTGGTCATCTAGTGAGCCACCACAGCAACAACTGCAACCTGGTGCATGTTTACTCACAGTTGTTGCTGTTCTTTTATCCCCTTACCCCTACTACCATGTGTTTACCCAGGAAACAACTAGAAATAGCACAATGTTTCTAACTTTATCATTACACTCTTTCTCTCCTAACCAGAGCAGATCATAAATAATTTAAGTGATGAGTTACTGGATTCTGTTTAACACACACAAAATGGTAATAGGAAGAGCCAGGCACAAACCTACCGTTTGTGTGTCTAGTAATAATAGAGTGGGGCCAGCTGATGAGTCCTCCCACTATAAACATGAGGGACGAAAACCATCTCTGGGGGATAACCCCTGGAGATTGTTCCTGGCTTTCTCTTGTTTTTGGGGTATACAGCATTAGTGCATAGCTGATTCGAATCGACCAATCAGATTTGTTAGTACGAGGTTCAGCATTATTCTCTTCTTTGTGCTATAGTTCTGACATTATCATGTACTCTAACATTATTGTGTTTATGCCACGCCATTGTGTCTGGCATGCAATGCATTACATTGGTGTGATCTGCCTTATGTCACCTTATAACAGGTTCATTTTTAATTCTTTTATTAGTAGTCCTATGGTGGCTCTAAAATATTCCCCTTTATGTATGTTTGGGGATCAGATAAATTTTAAAAAAATGAACGCAGTTATACGTACACATAAATCGTAAATGAAGCAATAATAAACCCGTTGTTATCCCGTCACATTGGGTGTAGTCTCAGAAAACGTGGTAACAGACAAACGGACTGACAGACAGACAAACACACACTCACAAACCACGTAACTCTTGCTGCGCATGCACGTCATGAAGTGTGTATATATACTTCATATCCAAATTGTTCACATTACAGCATGTCGTTCACATTACAGCATGTCGTTCACATTACAGCATGTCGTTCACATTACAGCATGTAGGTTAGTCAATGACTTTGTGTCTTTTCGGTCTACTTTCTAAGCTTTACTTGACTTGCCATCTCCTTGCCCGTCTTTTTCACGGCCTCTTTTCCGTTTGTGGCTCCTGCAAACTCCTGTAGTCCAGGTCTACATCTCAAGCCAGAATCCTGCTCACCTCACACTGACAATGCCAGGCTCCCCACTGGCCAAAGACTCCGCCCACTCCTCCTCGACTCCACCCACTACATAGCAGGAGAGGTCCATCTCCTGCAACTCTGCTCTCCTCTGTTCTGTTTCGTCTCAAACTCATCTGCAGCCTCTCTCTGTCAGACACACACAGTGAGGGCCTGGCTACACGGACTACACTCCCAACCAGCTCTCTGCCGAGACCAACAGCAACTGGTTTCATGTCTCCTCTGTCAGCAGCAGCTGGTGGTAGTGTCTCCTCCACCGCAGCCTCTGACAGTGAGTTGAACACCTGAACAAACTTGCGGATTACTCTGTTGAACAGGCCAAGAACTTGGCTGGCCGGAAGATCCAGTTCCTTCTGTAATGGACATTGTAACCTCTGAATGACATAAAAAAATGCCTTTTTTATTGTCCTTTAAATGCAGGCATTGTTTTAATATTATTATACTTCTTTATTTATGTGACGGGCACTGCATGGGCACTGCTATGTACTGTAATGTTCTTCGTCATTCTATACAAATATGCGCCAAATATTGAAATATTGAACAGCTCACTTGCCGAAAATCTGTGGCCTAGTATGTACACATGTAAATGATGTGACCCGCACGGCCGTAGGCACTGCAGCACTGTTATGTGTACGTGATTCTAAATACACGTGCAACATGGAACATTAAACTGCTGGCTTTGCTCGCCAAAAATGTGCTGCATTCCTGTACGTAGTTGACATGTAGAAGTGTCCCTCACTCTGTGGTAGGGCTAGGGCTAGGGGTGGAACACACTAACGTATTAGTATAGCATGTAGGTGTGGGAGGGTCTGAGTCAACTGTATACACAAAGGTTAGGTTGGATACCTGGAGATCATCCACTGTCTTGTGCTGCAGTCCAAGTCCAAGGAGTATTGCCTGTAAACAAAGAAACTAAAGATCTTGAAAAGCCATCATTCTCTCCAGACTTACACTTTGTGCTGCTGAGAGGTGAAGGACACTCTCACTGAACTGGATCTGAGCCACTGAGGGAGAGAGTTAATAGAGGCGATGATAAAATATGGAGGATCACTGACACGCTGGCAGGAGGTCAGTAATGAGGTGGTGGTCAGCCATGTTCCGAGAGTACAGCTCCAGTCTCTTGAGGTCGTGAGGGGAAAACAGAGTCTCCATTTTCTCCAGACTCAGCTCTCCTGCTGGGCAGTTGTGGATGAGGGGGAGAGAGCAAACAGTTATAATATGTGACCCGCCCCCAGAAAAGGCTCACTTCCACGCAAAAATTCACACGCTGCATAATAATTATACAAAGAACATCTTCGCAGCTGCTTCATTCAAGCGCTATATGTGATATTGCGCACAGACGCAAATACACAAATACTTACACGGGGCACTGCAGGTGCTACATACGAATGGTAAATCAACTTTGCACCAACGCAAAAAGAAGTCCCTTAGGCTACGGTTTTCAGCTGTGTCAATTTGTACATGTGCCAAAACCACCAAGTGTTTAGCTATGTATATGTGCATAGGGAGATATTATTCTGCGCGGAAATGCACCTTTTCCCAGAGCAGGTCACATACATACCTTTTCCACTGGAGGGAGATCTAGACAGTGTGAGAGCCAGGGCTGGGGGAAACTTCCTGAACTGGTAGGACAGTAAGGCTAGGAACCTCTTCCTGAAGTCTGCAGAGAGAAAGGAGAGAGGGTGAAAGCAAGTAGTTTGTGGGTCATATAATACCAGTGTTGTATTCAGTAAGCCACATGTGTTCAGCAGTGAAAGGTCTCAGCATGATACAGCTGTGCTCTCCTGTCAGGTCATTCTAGCAGATATCAGAGAAGGTGGAGAGTACACAGTGAGAGAAGCCACAACTCACTGGTGTCTGTCTGAGGTACACTGGAACATAGCCAAGTCGACTCCAAAACCTGCAGAACCCTCGCAACTATAAAGCTCAAGGTGAAAGGCAGGAAGGGACGGACCTGTATAACTGCAGAGTTAGACCATACGACACTCCAATGTAGTCCAGAGTCTCAGGGGGCCGGTCTTCAAGACGACAGAGGAGAGGAGGGAGGTTAGTTCGTGGAGCTATCGTCTCTTTCAGAAGACTAACTTCCACCTGTACATTAAAAGAGGTGAGAGAGGAGATAGAGGGTGCCTTACTGGTGGGCAATACCTCAGTGGTGGTCGAGGCAGTGGCAGACTCCACTGCTGGGGCCTCAGCCAAGGGAGCAAGTTTCCCAGAGAAGTAGTCATGGAGGAGAGACAGAGCTCGAGAGCCGTATCCCATCCCCTGTAGAGCACACAGTTACTCACTGCTGGTAGGGGGGGCCATGTCTGTTACCTGGAGGTCAGGATGGACTGCTATTCTCACAACTCTGGCCCCGGACAAAGCGGCAAAGTTACTGTCAGCAAACTGCTGTGATACGGTCCAGGGGATTAGGTCACCCGACGCTCGCTTGCCTCGCGACAGACTCTTCATAACTGAACGTCGACTTATCCCTCCTTCAAGACACACCTGAGACCAGAGAAAGACGACAGGGATAATGTGGAGGTTACATCGGGTATACCTGTAGTACGCAGAGGATGTCAGGAAGGGAGGTGGAGGAGGGAAGAACTGGGGGCACCAGAGCAAAGACCTGGTGAGCAGGTGCGTCTGAGAGGAGTTGGATGTCGTTTGGAGTGTTCTTGTAGTGAGAAGAGACGTAGAGTGACATGAGGCGATGCAGGAATACTTCGCTGGCTTTGTGGTGGGAGAACAGAGTGTCTCTGTTCACGTGGTAACTGATGAGAGTTGAAAGACAATGAAATGACTGTGGTTGGTAGTTGTTCTCAAAACTTACAGTCAAAGTACTGCCACTGCTTATAGGGCCAAATAATTACTAGTACATGTGTTAATGAAACATGTACACAGTGCTAAGGAAATGAAAAGCACTGAAGTGCAAACCCTCGGCAAACTGCGCATGCGCGGTATATTAGTATGCGCGGTCTCCCGCTAGTATATAGCTCGCGGAGAGTCTGACAAGGGCTAGCTAGATTAGCATGCGAGAGTCGATACACGCCCTTCATGTGACTTCTTGTGCCTTCAAAATACACAGAGCAAGAAGACCCGGTCCTGTGCTAAATATAAGCGCATGCGCATTTTCCGCAGCGATAAAAATGGCCGACTACGCATTAGCCGTACAACGGTGGAAGCGCTCTAACTTTGCAATGGAGCGTTTTCAGAGAAAACCGTTCGAAATTTCTGACCTTCATTGCCCGTTCGGTAGGTGGTATCCTTTGTGAGACGAAAGAACACTCGAGAAGTGAGATGAAGAGTAACAGACAGACAGACAGACAAACCCAACTACTGTAACCCTCGCTGCGCATGCGCGCCAAGGGTTAAAAATGGAGTCTTGCAGGAAAGAAACAGTGGCAAGAGTAGCTCTACTGTAAGTACAGCAAGGAAAAGAAACTTCGCGATATTAATGGTATTAAGCTGCCTGAACATTTTGTAGGTATCATGGAACAGGAAAAAAAGTTTCCAGGCATACAGTACGGCATATGACTTACAGTTCACAATCGGCAGGAGACGGACAGCCAGCCACAGTCCTGGAAATCTTGGCTGAGTCCAGACACAGCAGGTCATACAGCCACCTCTCCACACCGTCACCTGCCGAGTACCTGACTGGCTCCTCTAGCTCCACCTCCTTTAGGACACGCCCACCTCCCCCGCCAACTCCACTCCCCTGCCGCAGCTGGCTGATAAGCTTTAGGGACAGGGACCTCCCCGTTCCCTCGTACCTGGGTCAATTCTCAGACTCATTCCCATTCCACACGTCACAAGTAAACTCACCCGTTGACGGTGGACGCCATGAACACCAGATATGGACCAATCAGATTGCGGACGAGGGGGAGAGGAATAGCAGCTGCTTCGTCAATGCAGAGGAGCTCTGCCTGGCCCAACTTGTGGCAGTCGGAGGGGTGGATGTACTGACAGAGAGAGACATATTCCCTTGTACTGGTTTCATTTGGAATGCTCTTACTTGTACAGTCTGTCTGTGCTCGTGGAAAACGTTCACTCTGACGACGGCTTTGTTGAAGTTGGGGTTAGTGGACTGCACCGCCTCGTAGTCCTGGAGACAGACACGTAACGTCAGACACAATCACTCCCTCCCCCTCACCTGGTGTTCTGTATAGTGGAGGCAGTCAAATCCTCTGAACACAAACTGAAACACAGTCCTCAAGTTCTCGGGTGAAGGTGAAGTAAGGAAAATGTTTGAGTAGCCAAAGGCAACCGCTGCTGCTATCGACAGTCCCAGTGCAGCCGATTTACCCCTCCCCCTGGCTGCTGTCACGGCAACAGTTGATCTAAGTGTCTGTTCCGAGAGGGCCTCAACAAGCACCAACAGAGCTTTGGCCTGTGGTGTGAGGGGGAAGAGAGTGAGGGGTAAGGGGGGAGGGGGGAGGGAAGACCTGGTCCAGAGTGAGGCAGGAGGAGAGGAGAGGTCCAACAGGTTGAGTATCTGCCATTGACTGCTGTAGAGCACTCAGTTCTCTCTGCGAGGGAGAATTCTCTCCCTACACACAAACATAGGACAGGTACACAGTGCATGTATAACACCCCATTCTGAAATCGTGCTTGCATGTGTCAACAATGTGGCCAACAAAGGCAAAGCACAACACGCTGCCCTGGGTGGGATTCCAACCCTAGACAAGCACTCCACACGCTGGGCATTGCAGCAGGTAGGGCTTCAATCCACAACGCATGACAACACAATACAAATGCATGTTTGCATTTTGACAGTGTTTATACGTATATAAAGTATGTATGACGTGACGAATGCTACCGGAGGTCACATATGGCCAGCCGATATGAGAGTAGTGAGCATCTAAAAGATCTGTACCTGACTAGAGGGAGTAGATGCAGAGAGAGAGAGGGAGTGGGAGGAGATTGGTAAGACATTGAGGTGGTCGTCAATGACAACACAGCTCGGACAATCAGCAAGAGAAAGAAGAAACCTACAACATTTGGTGACACGACTTGAACTTTGGAAGAAAGACGCGCTCACCGCTCGTTGAATCTTCCGACTACATCTTGATGACTCTCAGTCCTGAATCTGGCATGAACATCCATTGTCATGGTGACCAACTGCTGTAGGGAGGTCAAAGTACGGAGTAGGATGAGGACAAGCCCTCCCCCCTCCACAGTTTCCACAGTCCTGGCAAGCAGGTTGGGAGTCAGCGCCTCGAAATCCTGTATCCAGAAATACTGTCACTGGTTCCCATGGTAGCAAATCAGTATTACCTGCAGCACACACATCCCAAAGGTGTTACCAAGGATCTTGTGCGTCTCAGAGTAATAGCAGTAACGGATGTCAGTGGAGGAGATGAACAGATCGAACGGATCGTCCTCCCGCACGTCCATCGCGCCGCTCTTGATCCTTTTCTGAAGCAGTTTCATTCTCTTCTTCCTGTGGCTATAGAGACAAACAGAATATCCCTCGTTAGCAGCAGCCACCCCCTCACACCTGCTGAAACCAAGCTCCTTCTTGTAGCACCACAGTACGGAGGGTCGCGCCTTCACCGAGGCCTTGGACAACATGTGGTGCAGCAGAACGACCTGATCACGTGACTTCTCTCCCACCACGACCACCAGACTCCTCCGCCGACCTGCCACGCCATTCTCGATCAGCACACGAATACGATTGTCCACCTTCTTCCGAGGCATCTTTGCAGCATGCAGCGTTTCTAGAGGTCAAATGTTCCACGAGAGTTCACTTGCATACTCTCGTTCACGTATCCGTAACTTTCCGTACACTCTTATCGCGTATCTGCACCATTACCGTTTCAAAAGCGGAATACTTTCGTGCACCTCCGTATATTGCTAGGGCGGCTAGCAGTTGAAAAAGTGGGTGAAGGAGGGAGAGGCAAACGCAGCGTTTGCGCAACCTCCATCGGCTGAAGATCGTGCAAAAACGCGACAAACGACTTGGTTTGAGTGGAGGGAAAGACTTGACGACCGATTCTCAGGTTTCCTACACGCTACCGCTCGCCCGCGCCTTTCCTCTGCTACTGCAGTCGGAGAGCCGCCAGAGCTGAGCCTAGCGAGAGCAGTCAGCATGGAAGGTATGTATCTTGCCAGCTATGTGGTAGTAAACAAGCGATAAATATATAATTGCCGGAATAATGATAATTATGTGCCGTTTATTATGCGCTGGTTCAGCTGAGCAGAAGGTATGGTATAGTTATGATTTCCATTTTTCTGTGTTGAGAAGGGAAGAGGGAAGGCTAGTGGAAAAGGAGGACTAGGGCAGTAAGAAACACTGGGTACAATACCACGCAGTTTGGGAGGCAGGTTTGAGTACAATCGAAGTTCAGCTCCCACACCTGCTGACCATAGGCAACATAAAATTGTGACTGTGAGCAGCGGTGTTTAGGAGAAGTGTTAGCGGACACTTGAGAATTTCAACATGGAAATTCTGCCGCCAGTAATGATGATGATGATGATGATGATGATGTGCTCTGGACCTCAGACTCAACAGTTTTCTGTCTGTGTTTCTCTGCAGAGATACGAAGCTGGTGGGAGGTTCCTTGCGTCTCTCACTTCTGCAAGATCTTCAGCAAACCATTCAAACTGCCCGAGTTTGAGATAGAGGTGTGTGTTCCACCAGAGTAGGTCTGGTGGTAGATTACTCTAAATGTACATTAATATTCAGCCCACCACTACATGTAGTACTCCCTTTCTCTGGACACAGGAGTTGGAAGATGCACTACTGCTGGACATGAACCCAGACCCGTCTTCTCTTCTTGTTCAACTCTTCGTCATCTTCCTCAATGGCATAGTCGACAGAGATATAACGTGAGTATACACCACACTAACCTGACTACTACGTACATTCCAGGCCACCACAGGCCTTATTTTAGCAAAGGGGAGCATATGTCATTCAAAAAAGATTCGAAGGAGGTACATATGAGACATCCCCTCCCACTCCAGAGAGGAGAACTGGCAGAGTTTTCTAAAGCTCCATGTGCGGTGGAGATGTGACTTTCTACATGAGAAGTGGGATCCATTCCAGAGCAAGGGCTGTGACTACGGTAGTCTCGGTGCACGGGAGAAAGTAGAGCTGCTTCACAAACTCTGCCACTGGAGACTGGAGCTCGACGATGTCGGCGACCTCGTTAGAGTTAGTGGGTGTGACAGTGGGTGTGGCTTCATTATCAGGTTGTTGTGTATCCCAGGGTTACGACGGGCCGTCTCTAAGACTGTTACCTCTGGGTAGAGACGGAGACGGATTTCTGTACTGGTTCTTTTACGGGACGCGGCTGTATCGCGAGGCTCCGTCCAGGAGGGCTGTGAGGAAGAAGAAGACTGACGATCACTCGGAGACGGGCCGTGGGCGAGGGAAAGCCACGCCCTCTGGTGAGCTCCATTACAGAGTGACATTGTTATTCTAGTGTCCATTCTTACCGTGAGCATTGCTTTTGGTTATCTTCCATTGTCCTCTCTGTCTGCAGGTCGTAAGAAGGCGGTCCCTACACCCCAGAGAAAGGGGGCGGGATCAAGAGCTGGCAGGGGTCAGAGTACAAGAAGAACTCCCTCTACTAGAGGCAAAGGACGCAGAGCAGCTGCGAAAGAAGGTATTAAGCAACTGTGCTCTGACACTGAAACTGTAGAACCAAGGTTCAATTCCGGCTTCAGTGCTTTTTTATTTACCTTTGCTACATACAATGTACATATAAGAGGGTGGACCATGTTCTGTTGAATATCTCAATGGGCCTGAAAGTTGGGTTGGCACATTCCACTAATCTTCATGTGTACAGTGTAGTACTCTGTAGTAGATTCTGGAAACCTTGTGTTTGCAATCAATCCTTGTTACTTCATTTAAGACAAGGTTTTTATATGATCATGGGTTACTCAATGTATAGAAAACAGGTTATGATCATGGGTTACGAGTTCAGAACAATGAAAAATGCTGACCAGCAGATTTCGTACACGACTTCTTCAGTGTAGCCACCAGAACCTTTTCCGATGGCTCTTGGTACATTCTAGACTATCATGTACATCTCGTTCTGTTCTCCACAGAGTCGAGTGATGGTGAAGAATCTCAGATTGAAGGTCAAAGTTGCAGAAGACCTCAGAACAGACGTAATGTTCCTCGTTGCGAACAGCTGGCTGGTGGCGATGATGAAGGGTACGAGGGAAGTGGGGAGGAGGGGGGAGGGAAGAGAGGGAGGAAGAGAGCAAGAGGTGCAGCACCAGCTGAGAGTCCTGGGGAAAATGAGTGTAAGGATGATCTCAGTGGGAATAAAACTCCTTCGGCTGCCCCGGTAACGTCACCGGTGAAGGAAAATGAAGAGAAGATGGAGACTGAAGCGAAAGAAGGAGAGGGAGAGGGAGAGGGAGAGGGAGGGGAGAGGGAGAGGGAGAGGGGACGAGAGATGAAGAAATGGAGGTTTCTGAATCAGTTCTTGCTGCAAACACAAACAACAACAGTAACAAGCGAAGTGGAGATGAGGAGGGAGGAAGTGGGGGAGAAGGTGAGGAGGGGAACAGAAGGCGGAGTCTCAGAACTCGCAACAGAAGTAGTCGAAAGGTGTGTCATCTCATTTCTTGTGACTACATATTTTATATGTTGCATTACATATGTGAGCAAACGTTCATGTATATGTACAATGTTGCAATTAATGAGTTTTTGGTGGGTGTGGTTTCAGATGACAGAGCAGGAGAAGGAGCCAAGTCCAGCAGAGTGTGTGGGGGAAGGAGTGGAGAGTGAGGAGAAGGGAGAGGAGGAGGAGAGTGAGGACGACGCCATTGACTGGCAGCCAGCGTCAGGTCGCGGCAGAGGAAGGGGGAAATCTCAGTACGTCACTTGTATCATTAGTGGGTCTTTATAAAATGGCTCTTACATGTTGTAGTACACAATATTCTTAATATAGCCCACCTCTACACAAGTTTGTGTTATCCTCAGTGCATATAACAGAATCCCTTGCTGCCTACTAATGCATTGCCTTCTAGTACTACACTCTCTGTTGTTTCAGATCTGTCAGAGGGAGAAGAAGAAAGGCAGAGGCAAGTGAGGCAGAGAGTGAGGAGGAAGTGGAGGAAGAGGAGAAGGAAGGAAAAGAAGAGAAAGACACAGGAGAGAAGAAAAGGTTAGTTGAGTTTGGAGGTTGTCGGTCAGCACACACTCCCTCCCTCTGCAGAGAAAAATGGCAGATAGTGTGCAGTACAGAGGAGGAGTGGGATGAGTTGGTGGCCTCTCTATCAACTGTCAGAGCTCCTTCAGTCAAGAAACTGTACAGAGCTCTTGAGGTGAGGCTAACAGACCACTGTTCTAGTATTACAATATCAGGTGACACATGTACAGTACATGTGTAGTACACATCTGTATGGGTGTACACTCGCAGTGTATGCAGATATGTGCCTCTTTTGAGGAAGTCACTATAAAGACTAAATCAGCGTTTACGCGGTGCCACGTTGGTGCGATCAGCTTGTGCATACGTTAAGAAGTTTGGCCAATGTTCGGAAGTTGGCATTACTAAGAGTTGACATACCTGCAGAACCGCAATACAGTCGCTGTTGATGGTCTCCTCCCCTCAGGAACTGCTGCCTGATGTCCAGTACCTGTTTCGAGAGAGAGAGAAGGAACTGAAGAGGAAGATGATAGCTGAACTGCCACGAAGGACTTCCGACAGAATTGCCCTCAAGGCACAGCGAGAGGAGGAAGTGAGAGAAGATAGCCACGCCCCTGTGGTGTTTTAGCCCCGCCCCCTGCAGGAGAGGCTGGATGCGCAGCTGCGAGAGAGACAGAGAGAGGTCCTGCGAAAGGAGAGAGAGGAGGAGAAGAGGAGGAAAGAGGATGAGGCCGAGGAGAAACGACAGAAGCGGAGAGATGAGGCCATTCTTCGCAGGAAAGGTGAGTAATTATCAACACACCATCTGACCTCTGACCCTTGACATCAGCCCGAGAGGAGGAGCAGATGAAGGTGCGGGAGGAAGAGGAGAAGAACTGGCAGCAGGCAATGAGTGGGGAGTTGTCTGGACCCCGCAAGTGAGTCACACTCCACCTGTACATGAGTCCATACATTTTCACTCTGCCAATTATGTGTTCCATTGGCTCTTTGACATATCCCTTATGAATAATTAATGAGGTGTAATGTAGCTAAGAATCGAGCCTTGCATCTTCTGTATAGCACTTTGGCCATTGGGCCACACAATCACTAAAAAAAAAAGAAAAACACTGAAGTGCAAACCCTCGGCGTACTGTGACGCGCACGCGTAAGTAAACGCATGCGCCGTACTACTAATTGCTGGGCTGGGTTTAGTTTTAGCTGTTACCCGTGGTCTCTTGCCAGCTCGCGCAGAGTCTGACGCGGGCTAACTACACTACTAGATAGCATGCGAGAGGCGATACACGCCCTGCGTTGCATCTTCTGGTGCCTCCGAGGTACGCAGAGCATGCGGATCGATCATGCCGTAGTAAGCCGTTGTGTATTTGCATATTGGCTTTTTCGCGCTCTAGCTTTGCAACGGAGCGTTTTCAGCGAAAACCACACATATTTTCTGACCTTCATTGCCCGTTCAGTAGGTGGTATCCTTTGTGAGACGAACGAACACTCGAGAAGTGAGATGACGAGTAACAGACAGACACACAGACAGACAGACAGACAGACAGACAGACCCAACTACCGTAACCCTCGCTGCGCATGCGCGCCGAGGGTTAACCAGTGGGGATCAAAGCAAGCATTGCTGGCCACCCGGTCATTGACTGCATGTTGTGACATGTGCTGCAGAGCTGCTCTGGGAGCTGCGGAGGGTGTGAGTGAGGTGATAAAGGCAGTGGAGGGTGAAGGAGGACTGGATGACCTGGCAATGGAGGGTGACAAGGAAGAGTTTCTCTACACTGCCTTCTACAAGAGTGGGTCATGTGGGCGTGGCAGGGGGTGTGGTCACATGATAGCTCCTCCCCCTGTCCAGTTCTGAGTGGCCTGAGACGGCAGGAGGACAGCTGGGTGTTTGAGGATCCTGTGACTGAGTCCATCGCCCCCGGTTACCACGAACAGATCTCCATGCCAATGGATTACTCCACAGTTGAGAGTCGACTGGAGAAAAGGCATTACTCCACACGAGAAGAGGTACACACCTACTTACAGTGGAACTCCTCTAATCCGGACAGCATTGCATTGTACACATGTATGCCCATGGGTGTTACAGTATGTACATGTACTACAGTGTGTGTATTTTTCCTTGCAGTTTGAGACTGACGTGAAACTGATCTTCAACAACTGTATTGAGTACAACGGAGAGGACAGTGAGTACTCGGAACTGGCCAACCAGATGTTAGTCGAGTTCCAGAAACTATGCAAGGTCCATCTGGATGGAGGCGGTGTCAAGGTATACACAATTCAGCACATCAGTATGTGAGGATTGAAATAGCCAGAGCTTGTTTATTTATAGGCACACTGTCTCTGTAGTTAGTTTTTCCTTATTTATCCAGCTGGATTTAATCTGTACTTGTGAACTACAGAATTCATGACATGTCCACAGGCTGAGCTGGAGATAAAAACCAAAGGATCTCGCTCCTCTCGATCTCCGAGTGTTTGCAAGACTCCAGAACTAACCAGCGAGAGCTCTTCAGAGGAGGCCAGCGATGAAGACAGGTCTGTTTACCACACAGTCTGTTACCATGGAGACTGGCTCCTCCCCCTGCAGCGATGACAGCTACAGTGAAGGAACAGGGAAGCCTAAGAAGAAGGCGAGTGGCACCGGAGGACTGAAACCTCTGCTGCTGACACCCAAGCTGTCCCAGCAACTGCCGCACTCCACGGCACATCTCCCTCCCAGACCCCCTCACCCCTACTACCATCATCAAATGATGATGCAGTACCGAATGAGGTTCGATGGGGCTCCGCCCCCTCACATGGCTCCTCCCCCTCCTGAGATGATGTTCAGACCTCCGGCATACGGTCGTCCCCCTCCTCCCTACTCCCAACACCCACACATGCCACGCCCACCTGATCACCACTTTCCTACTTACCCTCCGAACTACCCTCCCCACTTTCCCCCATCTCCCTACCATCATCTCCACGGTTTCCGCCACGGGTTCCCTCCTCACATGTTGTCTCCTCAGCAAAGACCCCACCTCTCTCCCACTGCTGCCCACGGCAGACCAGGTTCCGTTCCACCTGGTCCTAATTCCGTTCCACATTCATCGACGAGCACTCCTCCGCACGTGTCCGACCCTGGTTCCATTCCACATTCGTCTGATCCCGGTTCCATTCCAGAGTCAAATATGCAGGAAGGAGTTCCTGGGAAAGTGGTGGGAGATGAGGAAGGGAAGGGAGGGAGGGAAGAGAAAGAGCAGGAGGAAGGGAAGAAGGTAGAGGATGAACAAGGAAGAGAGGAAAAGAAGGAAGGAGGTGAGGCAAAGGATGGAGACAAGAAAAGGGCAGAGGGACAAGAGGAGGGAACACAAACATCTGATGGAAGAGAGACAGTTGCAGGTTTGTGGGCACGAGCTTACTTTATGATGATGAGCCAAATACAGTACATGCATATCCGACATGTGTCTAATGCGATATTTGCTTACAGAAAATGGTGCAAGTCCTCCAATAATGGTCCAGTCTGGCCCCCCGCCCCCTCCCCCTCATGGACCACCACACCAAATGTCCAAACAACAACAAGCTGCCTACAGGTATATGTAAGTCCCTAAATTACACGGTCTCTCGCACATCTCTCGCCTACTGACTAATCACTACAGGTACCACCAGCACATGATGAGAGCTGCAGGGGGTGGGGCTAGCCACACCCACCCTGACTTCTACCAGCGTTACCCTCATGGATACAATCCTCACTATTTACCCCGTCAGCCCTACCCCTCTCCTCCTCAGCCCCCACGTCCCCCCACTTCTCTTCCCTCACATCACCCTGACCCATACTATGCCTGGCATCATCAACAGGCATGTAGTGGGGAATTTAGTAACTTTCAACATTTCATGAAAATCTTTTGTGGTGCTTAGAAAATTCCCCGATTTGTCTTACCAGAAAACTTGTTGATTTGTAACTCTGACAGCAGGCAATGTATGGTCGCGAGGGGACGACCTGGCGTCTCACCAGACGACATGCAACGTCATCAGCAGCAGATGTACTGGATGGAGATGGAGAGAAGACGACAATACTACATGTACATGCAGCAGAGAGCTAAAGGTATCATGCACCTCCTAATACATTTACTATCTTTTACATACTGTATATGCAGCAGCTCAAATGGGGCAGAGTCAGAAACCTGTTGCTACTAGCAACAAACAAGAGAGCAACGAGCTGCCCGGCAAAGAGGGTGGAGTGGAGAGCTCTAATAAGAGTAAAGAGGAAGAGGAAGAAAAGATGGAACAGAAAGCCTCAACAAAACAGGAGGGAGCAAAGGATGAAAATCGGGCAAGTGCTCATGAGGAGAGCGAGACAGATGGAGGTGAGAAAGAACGAGGGTGTCCAACACCAGACACAAAGACAACAGTCAGCAATGAAGACAAGATGGTACCAGCCCCCAGCCAAGATGAAAAGACACTAGCCCCCAGCAAAGAGAAGGTGACAGCACCCCCGGAAGACAAGAAGACACCAGGTGCTGAAGACAGGGAGGCAGGTGTTGGAGAGGAGAGGAACACTCCTCGTGCTGCCAAAGATGGGAAAAAAGACATTGGCAGTCGAAGATGGTGAAAAGCCAGTGGCTGGGACGAGCGAGAAGGCGAAAACCACAGAAGCTCATCCTCTGCTGAAGGAGCCGTCGAGAGAGATGATGTTCAGGCATGCTTATCGCCCGCCCCCCTTCCCTCCACACCCTCACAACGGTCACCCTGCTCTAGAGGGTGGCAACATGTACTCTTACCCCTCACCCCATCACATGTACCCTCCACACATGTACGGAGTACCACCTGGTTACGGAATGAGGCCACACCCATCTAATTACCGACCACACCCACCCTATAACGAGCAGGGGTTTCCTCACTACCAAAGCCCAGGACATGATCAAGGTGTTACCGAAGGTAACACAGGCGACAAGCAGGGAATTCCCCCAACCCAGAGACCTAGGGCAAGGGGAGTTCCCCCTGGATACCTGTCTCAGCGAGAGGGGTTTCCCCCAATGTATGGTCCCAGACCTGAGCACCACGAGATGGGGGCTCCACCTAACGAGCAGGGATTACCCCCTGGTTATGGTGCCTGGCCTCGCCACCATAGTTTCCCACCACCAATGGGTTAGTGAGTAGGTGTGGTCAGTAGTTCGCTAGTGACCTTTCACCCCTACAGATCCAGGGATGATGTCATCGGAGGCGAGGGAAAGGTGGAAGATGGGGCAATCAGCATCTCACTATCAGCACATGCACCCTCACCAGGTCCTTTTTATAAACCTCACTCCAACTTTTGAATTCAAGGTTGCTTCCTTCTCCCTACAGTACATGCACTATACGTACAGGAGCCCCACAGGTCAAAGTTCACCCCACCCTCCCATAAGCTCTCACTCCACCCCTCAGAAGAGGTCTCTGGACCAGTCTGCCACTGACAACTCTCCTAGCTCTGCTCCTGGTTAGTTTGGCGCCCCATTGTAAAGTGTGGAGCTTGTTTATTCTTCGCTGCACTCCCAGCCGGAAATGGCTTTTGAGAGTATATGTATGTAGGGTTCCATTCCTGGACAAAAATGATTTCTTTACAAGAATTTTCTTTCCCCCTTTCAGCTCCTCCCAGTAAGAAAGCCAAAGCCATGACGTGACATCTTAACACTTTCCAACTCACTCCTTCAAGTTTTAGTACCTTTCCCTGACTCACAACTTGCCACTTACACACTTTAGCTCATGCGGCCTTGTATTATGATGACATCATTTCACTGATCATCGTACACTTGTACAGACAATAAGATCTATTTTCAGACACCATTTTACATGCAGCACCAACAACCACTAAAAAATTTTAGCCACGACTTCCTTTTTTCGTGTTGCACAGTATTCCAATGTATATACAGGTGGTATAAAAAGAAAGGGAGACAAGATAGGGATGGGATACATGAAGCATAGTTAATGAGAGTACGCTGACACCCCCAACCCAATCACACAATCCCTATATATATTGTTGACTGGTGTGCCACTCCATTTGTACTCTTGGTTACTCAGTATAATTATTATAGCATGACTTTTTCATTTCAAGCTAGACTATTGTGCAATGTTGTCACCTAGCAACAATATAGGGATTGTGTGATTGGGTTGGGGGTGTCAGAAGGAGCCTTGCCAAGGTAAGAGTTTGCATGTCACAGCACGCGTGTGAGTACTTAGTGCATGTGTCACAAACGCTGAGACTGTTGTCCCGAATGAGTTAATTATTTATTCACTCATCAAACTCGCTAACTGTAGCGCACATAGTGATGAAACTTGGTGCGCATGTGTATTACATCATTTCCATGACGACAACAGGCATTTTCTCTATTAATAGGGGGCTTGCCCCCTTTCACAGAGATAATGAAAAGCACTAAAGTGCAAACCCTCGGCACACTATTTAGAAATGTGGAACCCATACACAAGTGTGGCACTGCCACAATTGATGGTCTTGACAAAGATATATAATTATGATGGATAGGTTGAAAAATGGCCAGCCCCATTTCTGTTTGAGGCCTAAAATATTATATATAAGGTTGAAAAATTGCCAACCTTTCATCTCTCTATTAATTTTCTTATTACCCGTGGATTGTTTAGTGCAAAAAAAATATTTAAAAAAACCCAAGGTTGAAAAAAAACGGCCAGCCCTTCATCTCTCCAGACAGACGTCTACGGACGCAGTGCTATGCCGAACTGTACGCTGCCCTTTGAGAAACATGGGTCAGTGGTAGATTTGTGGGTAAGGGGAGGAACCAGAGCTGTTCCCAGCCAATGCTCTGGACCATCTGACATTTTAGTGCGGGATCGAGGATACGAACTCCGCACCTATGGTGTCAGTCCCCACGACTCTAACCACCTAGCCACTCGGGCTGGCCTGGAGATGTGATGAAAAAACGTTCCATATATACCAACACTCCTATTACATCATTGTAAAAAAGGCGCACACACCCGGGATTCGAACCAGGGACCTCACGATCAGGAGAGGGGGTGCTTATCCATCAGACCACCACCCATTACTTGAATGGGAACAGCGTAAATTACAGTGCAAACACTCGGCGAAGTAGCTCGCAGAGAGTCTGACACGGGCTAGCTACAATAGTAGATAGCACGCGAGAGTCGATACACGCCATTCGTTGTGACTTCTTGTGCCTTCAAGATAGACAGAGCAAGCGGACCCGGTCGAAGTTGTGCTAAATATAAGCGCATGCGCATTATCCGCCAGCGATAAAATGGCGACTACGGCATTAGCCATGCTGGAAGCGCTCTAGCTCTGCAACGGAGCATTTTCAGAGAAAAACCCACATTTCTGACCCTCGTCGCCCGTTGGGTAGATGGTATCGTTTCTGGGACGAACAGACACCCGAGAAGTGAGATTGAGAGTAACAGACAGACAGACAGACAAACACCCACCCAACTACAGTACCCCCCTCGCTGCGCATGCGCGCCGAGGGTAATTATACGCAGTAGTACATATAAAAATGAGTGGAGACAAGTAAATTTAAAAATCCTGTGAATTAAGGAATTATAGGGATGGTGTAAAAGAAAAGGAGACAAGATACTGATGGCGTAACACAATCCCTATTGTTGCCTGGTGTGTATATGCGAGTTCGCACTATAAGCACAACTACATGCAGTCAGTAAAACACATTGGAACTAACATTCCACTACTGCACGAGTATATTATAGTCAACATGGAGTGCTGCTGCTCCCTTTGAATAACGCAACACAAAAAGGAAAACCCACATTTCTGACCCTCGTCGCCCGTTGGTAGATGGTAATCGTTTCGGACGAACAGACACCCGAGAGTGAGATTGCGAGTACCAGCCAGACAGACAGACACAACACCCACCCACTACCGTAACCCACCCCGTACCCGTCCTCGCTTACGGGATGGTGTAAAAGAAAAGAGACAAGATACTGATGGCGTAAATAAAACACATAAAAACATAACCACAAAAAACATACTGTTACCAACAAAAAATAAACAATAATACCAAACCACACCACTACAAAACCGCACAAAACACCCGAACCACCTCCCTATTGTTGGCCTGTGTGTATATGCGAGTTCGCACTATATAAGCACAACTACATGCAGTCAGTAAAACACATTGGAACTAGCATTCCACTACTGCACGAGTATATTATAGTCAACCTGGAGTGCTGCTGCTCCCTTTGAATAACGCAACACAAAATGCAAACCCACTTGAAAGAGCAACTTACAGCTACTTTTACAGATTACATACACACCAGGCAACAATAGGGATTGTGTCGTGGGCTCGGGGAGTGTCCCTATACCTCACAATGTATATACATGCCATTCTTGTATATATGCCATCCTATCTTGTCTCCTTTTTTACACCATCCCTATATTCCTTCTTTTTTAAATTCACAGGATTTTTTAATTTTACTTGTATACTAAGTACTACCGTACTTAGTGATAACAGTTGTCATGTCACAATAATAATTATGTACAGAAAGATCGCTATGTACATGTCCACATCAGTAGAGTGGGTGGCTAGGCAACCAATGCTGAGGCTGTGCTGGATTCACTGTGGAGGAGAAAGAGAACTAATCAGAAGACGTGAATGAAGGGGAGACTTACTATTTCCAGTTCGGAGGTAAGACTCTCTTCGTCTTGTACCAGCGAGCCAGTCTGTGGATCCGAGACTCCACCAGAATCAGTCGAAACTTGCTGTCCCGATCCTGCACCCAGCATCACAGCATGTGACCACACCTACCTCATTTATCACCATGGTTACCTTGCGGTTCTTTTCCAAGTGTTTTCGTATGGAGACGGCTTTCTTGATCATGTGGTATAAGTCTTCAGGTATGGAGGGAGCAAGTCCTGATGAGAGGGAAAAAACGAGGATCAACTTTAAGTCGATCATTGACCAAATGAGAAAACTGCCAGCCTGAAAATGAAGCTGTGCAGTGCATGCACGCACAGCATGGTTAGTGTGGGATATGGAAATCACACGACAGACCGAAACCTAACCTTTGGCCTTGAGAATGCGGAGAATCTTGTTGCCCGTGATGAGTTTGACTTGAGCCACTCCATGAGAGTCCCTCAATATCACTCCTGTTCCCATGGAAACAGGGGAACATGTAGGCACCAATGCTGTCATGGCAACACACCAATCTGTGAGGGACTCAGTCCTTTCTTTGCCAGCTTGTAGATCTGTTCCTTCACGTCCTCTCCGGACAGTTTCATCCACTGAACCACGGAGACTATTACACTCCTATCAATATCCCTGGCAACTTACTGATGGTACAGACCGTCTGTATGGCAACGCCGACTGGCTGATGCCTTTACTGCAGACACAGAGAAACACAGTGTACCACACTCCCCCATGCAGTATACGAGGCCTTACCCTGGAGCGTGCATACGACCCATGACGAGCGAGCGCTGAGACCTAGGCTACGACCACCGAAAAAAGTTCTTACATGTGGCGGATCACGTGATCAAGTGGGCGCCGCCGGCCCGGCCCGGTCGGTTTGGGGGTGTGGCTCTAGTCTAGCGAGCGAAATCGGCTGGCTGCCATGCCTCTGTTCTTCGGGTTGGTGGCGAGAGGGAAGGTAGTTCTGTGCGACCACGCCGAGGTGAGCGGAAACTTTGAGGCCTTGAGTCAAAACATCCTCCAGACCAAGAGAGAAGATGGCTCCAAAATCAGGTCTCTTTCTCTCCCTCTCCTCTCATCACGTGACCCTCTCTACCCAACAGCTATCAGAACGGTCGCTACCTGTTCCACGTGTCGACGGTGAGACTACTGACACTCATCTGTGTGACTGAGGACACGTTTGAGAGGGGAGTGGCCTACTGCTTCCTCAGCAGAGTCTATGACGAGCTCTCCTCCGCTGGTCTCCTGGTAATTCCAATGACATCATTGTCTATTCACATCACTGTCTGTTTGCCCCAGGAGAAAGCCAATACTTGTGGACCATATGCCATTCGAACAGAGTTTGGACCAAAACTGGGGGAATTGATGAGAGAGTTTTCTTCAGCAGACAAAGTTACAGTTCTGCAATCACAGGTTCTGCTCCTTCCTTCAGTTCTGCTACATACTGTATAGTGGGAGACTGTTCGCAGAGAAAACCTTATCTTTTTATTAAAATCCGCAAAATGTTGCTGGTTTTCTCTTGCAACACTGTTCCACATCAGTGTTTTACATGCAATTTTTTCCTCCAAAGTAGTTTCCTGGTATAATAATAATAATGATAGTATTTCTCTGAATGTGTAGGTGAAGGAGGTAACACAAGTCATGACCAGCAACATTGAACATGTGATAGCCCGTGGTGAGGCTCTGTCTGATCTCGAGGAGCGTTCAGAACTGCTGCAGAACTCCTCAGTGGAGTTCCGAAACAACGCCACAAGACTCAAGAGAAAGGTTCTGTGGAAGAGCATCAAGTTATGGGTGGCAGTGGTAGTTGTCCTAGTGATGGTGTTGGCCATCATTGCAGCTCTTATTGCCCTGGGAGTGACTGGGAAATTCAGCACAAAGAAATGATGGTTTCCATTGGTTTTTATGTTTGTGTGATTCCGTATGTGTGCTATTGTGTTGGCTGTTCAATTGATCACGAGACTGATACGTGTATTTATGTAGCTAGCGCATGCGCTTCGTTTATATTTGCGCTTGTTGTGATGCGCACTGCGCTTATAGACTACCACTCCACACACACACAAGAAGATGGAGCGGCTTTTGAGCGTGTCGCGAGAACTGAAAGAGAAAGTTCACCAGAACGAGACGGCGGCTGGGGAGCTGCTGAGACAGTGCGAGGAACTGAGGGAAGAGCTACGGTCCATGAGACAAGTGAGGTTCTCTCACTTGGTGCCGACTTACATACCTGTCCTTCTCTCTCTTTCTTTTCCTCTTTAGTGGCGAGAAGTCGTGCCGTCGGCCGAGGAAAGCCATGTCCAGATGCCCAACATTGAGTTTAAGTACATCAAACAGCTTCAGGCGGAGAACGGGGAGCTCCGTGTTCTATTAGAAGAGCACCAGGCAGCAATTGAGATGATAATGACCAAATACAGACAGCAGGTGAGGCGGCAATTTTAATCCCACCACATAATATATTCAGTTTAGTGCAGCTATTGAGTACACAGAAATCTGAGCACTTATCTAGTTTCAGAAAAGTTTGTCCTTAGTGTCTATATTTGCCTATTACGATTGTGGAACGTTCAAGTGCCCATATCCCTCATGCTTCACTGATATATCTGTAATTGAGAAGATATTTTATTTTACTGGTGTGCGTTTGGGAAAATGAAACTCACCGAAGCTGTAGTTCTGAACAATTGACCATTTTTGACTTGACGCAAAAGTCCACCAAAATCATTTTGGTGACAGAGAGAGTTTTTGGAGATAGAGAGAGTGTGTGAGAGAGAGTGGAACTGTCATGTTTCCTGCAGGTGGGGCAGTTCATGAACACCGAGAGACAAGAAAAAGGATTAGCTACCGACACGACGGCAGAGGTAAGGTGGTGGCGTTGCCATGGTTTTGACATCTGATCTCTCTATCATTAGGAACTCCTACATCGAACAGACCAGCTGTACCACATGGCAGCTGTGGTTTCCATGACGATGCAGGAGGAAGACACGTCGTCCCAGAAGACGGTGGAGTACATAACTCAGTTGGAGTGTGAGAACAAACACCTCAGAGACTTACTCCACTTCACTCAGTCTGGTCTCCTTGACTCCGCCTCTGACTCTGCCCACCCCGCTGACTCTGCCACACCCACTTCCTCCCTTGGCCCCGAACAAGACATTGCTCGTCATAGTTCCCCTCACACCAGGGAATTTCGGCCCCCGCCTGTCCCTGTGGGGGAGGGAGGGGTGTACACTGCCACACCCATCAACTCAGGACAAGCCACGCCCATTGCCACGCCTACCACTGGAGAGAAAGTGCCCAGCCGCTATTGCAACAGGCTGCCGATAAACTGACTGATAGATAGCCTGTCATGTGATATGTATCACTATTAGTTTGTGCTGGTCGTTTGGCTGGTATTTTATCCTGTATAATAAAGTAAATCTAGCCGGAAATGAAGGGGAAGTGAATGATTACGAAGGGGGCGGGGCCTGTAGTTCTGCGGTGTAAAGCTCGCACGGGGCAGCACAGTTATAGGGCAGACTCTAGCAGGAAAGAACGGCTACGGATTTCAGATATGAGAGCCAGGGATCAGTCGTCGTGAAGGACTGAGTTCTCATCCGTCTTCCCCAGATAACACGGTCAGAGGCACTGCGAGAAAGGTCAAAGATTTGTAATGCAGAAGCAGCTCCGCCCGTTTCATCTCCTATAAGATCGTCTACCCTCTCTGTACAGTACCTCGCTCCCTCCATAGAAATAGCGGGCCGGAGGTGGAGTGAAGCCTCAGCTGAAGGGAGGTGTGTCTGTCTCGCCAGCCGTCAAGGATTCTCTGCAGATGGCGGGATCTGAAGAGGGAGGCGCCAGAGCGGTGGGTCCGTACATCTTACAGAGGACTCTCGGCAAAGGGCAAACAGGTGAGAATTTGGGGGAAGAACCTGAATTTCTGTGTTGATGAAGATTTCACTCTAAAATAGTGCATTGTATGAGAGAGGGGGAGAGATAGAGGAGGTGGCATGTGATACTGGGGAGAGGTGGGGGAGGGAAATGGCTCAATTACAGTAGCCACATACACACAGGCGGCTTGGGAGTCGCTGACATTAGGACATATATTGAGGCTTTTCCCTGTCAGTGAGTGACAGGAATGTCTTACAACTAGTGGCCTTTGATCTTCTATCCACGTCTTCTGTCGTCTGCCTGCACCACTTGTCCGCCAACAGCAACACACCTTTCTCTCTACCTCTCTCCTCATTTCACACACGTTTAGTTTATTAACTGCTGTGTTGTGATGTCTAGTAGCTGATCTTGCTGCTGGGTCTAGTAAATTCCCTCACCTTGTGAATACCTTACCTGGTCCTGCTACCAAGGCAACCACAATGGCTGGGCACTAATTAGAGTGACCATGAAAGTAGTGTGAGAACACCATATTTGGGCAGCCATACAAGTCAATGGCTACTACTCCTTTTATGCGGCGACTCGTTGAACTCAATGGTTCTTCTTGTACCTGCACATGATCCCCTGCACAGGGCTAGTGAAACTGGGAACTCATTGCGTCTCGAGGAAAACAGTAGCTGTCAAAATCATCAACAGAGAAAAGCTCAGCAAATCTGTTCTTATGAAGGTACGTCTACCTGTGTACTGGGAGTCATGGCAACAGGGGGTGGTGTTTTGAAAACGTATGGAGTCTAAAAAAGAGAGTATGAATGGTGGTTTTGATTCTGCGCCAACATGTGGGTGGTACAGTACCATGGTAACCAGTATTTTCTCCCGGTCCACAGGTTGAGAGAGAGATTGCCATAATGAAACTCATCAACCATCCCCACGTCCTCGGTCTCTATGACGTCTATGAGAACAACACCCATCTGTACGTCTCTCACTTGAGCTTCATTGTATATATGCAGGACTATCAAATATATTTTTCCCTTGTTGACATGGTAGCATTCAAACCATGAAGGTAAAAAAAATGTTGTTGGTAACCCTCATTACACGTATAGTAACTGCAACATGTATTGCGTAGCCTCGAAGCTAAGCACTGCATAAGTTTGATCAATTCCCGGCTTAAGCAGTTTTTGTTTCACTTTTCTTATTGTACCACACAACCATGTACAATATTAGTGGGAAAATATAATATAGCAAACGCTACATGAGGTCAGGTGGTCTCACTCTCTCTGCAGCTACCTGATTCTAGAGCATGTGTCAGGAGGTGAGCTGTTTGACTATCTGGTCAGGAAAGGCAGATTGTCGGAGAGAGAGGTAAGGCCACACCTTCCTCCCTCACCTCACCATCTCTTTCTCCTTCTTCCCAGGCACGAAGGTTCTTCAGACAAATAGTGTCAGCTGTAGATTTCTGTCACAAGCACCAAGTGTGGTGAGTTGCAGCTAAGGCCAAGTCCTCTAATCCAGACACCAATGGGATCCATATTAGTGAGGTGTCCTTGTTTCAGGGGTTGAAACACACAGGCAAACCAAGGACTGTAGGGTTAATACAGGTAGTGACTGCTAAAGGATCAGAGAGAAAAGGTGTATTGTGACAGCATCTTTCTCTTGTTATTTTCTCAGCTTCAAATGAATGACATGAACAATTCACAAGTGCAAACCCTCGGCGAACTGCGCATGCGTGGTGCCGCTAATTGATGGGTTGGGCTGTTAGTGTGCGTATATCGTAGTTAGATAATATTATACATCCCGTTATATTGTACATCCCCCTCTCAACTATTGTCTGTGGTCTGGTGGTTAAGACCCCACCCATTGGATCGAGAGGTCAGCGGTTCGATCCCAGTCTGCATGGTTTTTTTATTTTTTATAATGATGTAATATGATTGTCAACATAAGAGGAATCCCGGACCGCACTAAAGTGTCAGGTGGTCCAGAGCATTGGCTGGGAACAGCTCTGGTTCCTCCCCTTACCCACAAATCTACCACCGACCCACGTTTCTCAAAGGGCAGCGTACAGTTCGGCATAGCACTGCGTCCGTAACGTCTGTCTGGAGAGATGAAGGGCTGGCCCAAAATATATATATAATGTATATAATTTTTCAACCTTAGAAATTTACGAATGTTTGGCCTAAAACAAACATAAGATTAAGTTTTGTATAATGTGTATATATATGAAGTTGTATGAAAATCCTCTCAATGTATTAACTCCTTCCCTCTCAGCCACAGAGACCTCAAACCAGAGAACCTGCTGTTGGACGAAAACAGACATATAAAAGTGGCAGATTTTGGTATGGCCAGTCTTCAAGTCGGGGGAAAACTCCTGGAGACAAGCTGTGGGTAGGTCATGTGACTGTCGCATGACCTCTCCTTTTATCGACTATATCATTCTCTAGGTCTCCTCACTATGCCTGTCCGGAGGTGATTAGGGTAAGGTCCCCTTTGTAATGTTGATTGGTATCAATGGTAACGTGTTTCCAGGGTGATCAGTATGATGGGAGGAAGGCTGATGTGTGGAGTTGTGGCGTCATTCTATATGCTCTTCTTGTGGTATAGCAACATACATCTATCTACTGTCTTTGAGTGTCTGGTTTGATTGGCACCTATGATGTCATCTTAATGCACAAGAGTAGTCAGTGTGGCTGATAGGTGCAAAATAATTATCTCCTATTCCTTTGTTAGGGAGCTCTGCCATTTGACGACGATAATCTACGAGTGTTGCTGGAGAAGGTGAAGAGAGGCCATTTCGTAATCCCTCCCTACCTACCCCAGGGTGCTCAGCAGTTACTCCGGGGTATGGTGGAGATAAACCCCGTCAAGAGAATGGCGGTCAGTAGTACTCCATTACTCTGTATCCATGGTTACCAATGATGCTATTTCCCTCCCTCTGCAGTTGGATGATGTAATGAAACATCCTTGGTTCAAAGGGTGGGCTCTAATTAGAGTACTCTGCCAAACTGTCACATGTCTCTCTGCATGTGTAGGTCACATGACAGTTCAGAGCTGGAGCCAGTGGCCCCGATGAGTGACGCCGTGGAAACAGTCCCGCTCGAGTCACGGACTGACATCGATGCTGATGTGTTCAAGAGTATGGCCTCCCTCGGATGTTTCAAGGATAGAACTGCACTGGCCAAGGCTCTTCTCTGTCCAGAGTGAGTGGCAGCTGCTTTTGTCCTCTTCTTTAGTCTCACTAACTTCTGGTTCTTTGCACGCATACCGTCCATATAGCTGTAAACTTTCTAGAAATATAACTCACTATGACGTATTACATAGCCTTACATGTCCCAACCTATGACAACTGTAGCAGATGGCTATTTATACCATGAGCTTGACGGACATTTTCTCCCTCTAATATTCCTGCAATATGGGTTTTAAACTGCACCAGTAGGACATGTGTATGACAGGCAATACTACTTTCTGGTCAGACACAATGAAGAGAAGGTGATATACTTCTTGTTGCTGGGGAGGAAGGAGAGACAGCCCAGTACTGAGGATCAGACACAGGCTATCAGCAGCCACCATCACAATGGTAACACACATTCTTCGCCATCTTCAGCTCCCTCCTCCTCTCCCTCCACCTGGTGTCAGATCCTCCGCGGAAGAGAGTTGACTCTGCCACGGCGCCCACCACCTCCTCTCTCTACCTCAACAACAGAGGACGTTCCCATTCCATCGGCTCTGCTGGTGAGCAGTGAACACACACACACACACATCTTCTCCATCAAACCAAAAATCTCCAACCTCTGAAGGGTTGGACAGCACTTCATCAACCAGACAAACGAGAGTTAATTCTGTGGCCACACCCACCTACAACCCCTCGGCCGCTGGCTACTACACCTACTCCTCTTCCACCCCTCCTTCCTCAAGAACTCGCAAAACCAGTTATGCACCTGGCGACACGGCACCCTCCTCCCTCACCCTTCCTGTAGGCCACCTCCACCTACTTGAGTGGCTTCATCTTAACCCTCTCCCTCCATTCACAGCTTGGTGCTTCGCCACAGCAACCGGGGTCACCATGGAAACGAAAGTTGTCTCAGACGATGAAGACCTTCATGGGGTCGCCACGGTTTCACCGCCGACGCCTGGACGGTCATCCTGAGTCACCAACGGCAACCAACACCCCCACCCCTACCTCTGAGTCCCCGTCTCCCGTCATGTGAGTGACTAGTGCCCAGATCACGTGACAGTCATATGACCCCTCCCCCACAGGGCCAAGAGGTCGTGGTTTGCCAATCTGAAGGCAGAGAGAGATAGAGTGGAAGTTGTGGTTGTGTATCGAGACAAGACCTTTGCTGAGCTCCGTGTCGCCCTCCTCCAGTCCTTCACTGTTGGTCACATGACTATCACGTGATCTGGGTATGATGTAATGATGATATCATTGCTCCCCAGGTGGTGAACTGTGAGCACGAGGACGTGGGGGAGAATGTGTTCAAGGTGAAGTACGCCAAGTCTCGTCGCCTGAAAGGTCAGAGGTCCCTTTGATTCTGTTGCCATGGTGATGTGTTCTCACCTAGGCAAGCGAGTCTTCAAGAAGCCGGTCAAGTTCCTAATCAAGTGTGTTCCCACGGAAACGGCAGGGGAAACTGGGGAGGGTGAACAGAGTGACGGGAAAACCTACATCGTCAGTTTTGTTCAGACCGGAGGTACGCGATGAGGCCTTCTAGAAACAGGGTTTAGCTGTAGCTGTAGCAGTTGGTGTTGGGTTTTCTTAGAGTTTCACATGTTTTAGTTCCCTGTGCCCTCCTACTAGAGGGTGCCATGAGAACTGAAACAGATGAAGTTGAGAGGAAAGTTGCCTACTAATAATGTCTCCCCTCCACAGGCCCTTCTCGCAGGTTTTACAGAGTTTGTGACAAGCTTCAGTCGGCCATCGTTAACCCTTCAGCCATTAACCCTCTGAACACTGAATTTGTGGACTACGACAACCCTAGTCTGAGTTCCGATGATACTCTAGCCCAGCACACCAGTGGATCACCCAATGGAGAGGGGTCCGAGAGTTCAGAGGTCGTTACCCCGGAGACCAACGGAGCCGGAGATCTTACGGAAGACTCGACTAGTGACATGAGCGATGCTGAGAGTGTGCCTGGCACCGAGTGACTGCTTCTATCTTTAGTGTCATTACATCACTGCATTTGTACCAGCCTCATAGCTACTATATTTAGACACTGCATTTTGTTACGTTTGTACGTGTGTGTGTGTGCCGAGTGTGTTATTTATAGATGTGTGTGACTATTTTTTTGTACTTGTGAGAGATTTGTTTGCCACATGATGATGTCGTGAGTGATCATTTGCAGTCCTTTGCCGCTTCAGGATAATATAATGTATGCACACAATACATTATAATATACACAGAAAACAAATACGTAAAAGGAAACGTTCTCAAATGATGATGTTGTGTATATGTAGTATTGCTCTTTCTGTTGCTTCAAAAAGAGCAAAATAACGTAAAACTCAAACAGTGCTCACCGACTATAGATGCTAGTTATACCTACGTACGGTGCCTACATAATGTACGTGTTGGTATGGCAGCTGCCACCAGACCCACTACGAAGCAGACGATGATGACGATGATGAGAGTAGCGGTATTATCATCATCATCATCAGTTGTCACCGTAGGATCAGTTGTCACCGTAGGATCAGGTGTTTCCGTAGGATCAGGTGTCTCCGTAGGATCAGGTGTCTCCGTAGGAGTAGGAGTGGGGGTGGAGGGGGTGGGGGGGGGAGGGGTAGGAGTGGGACATCCAACTGCACCTGGGGTGGCATGGTAGACAGACAGTAAGACACTATAGTTTGCCACATTCAAAGAAGTAGGAAAGTTGACCACAAAATTAACTTCATACGTGACATTTTAACCTACATAATTATCATGTGTGTATGTACACGATCCCCCCCTCTCCCCACACCTTTTTTTACAAGTGCTCACTTCTAATTTTTTACCTTTCTCTCACTTCGCACAGCAAAATAGCTGTTGTTAACTAGAGTTTACTAGTAATTACTGAAACATGGATAGCTATGTTGAAAATCTAATGCTATATGAGTCTTTGATACTACTTCAACCAAGCGACGCACACAGGTTGACGTTGTGAACTGACTGTCAAAGAAGGTGATGTCCGGGCTCCTCAAGATGTTGACATTTTTGAAAACAGAGATGCAGTGGATGGTGAACTGTGTGGAATTGAAACTTTCGAACAACCTCGCAGTGCCGGCAATGGTCATATTTAGATCACTGTAGGTATTGGCAAATCCATCGCTGACAAGAGTCCTTTCAAAAGTGATGGCGAGACCAGTTTCACCAGGTTCAGTGAACTCTGACAGATCGACCACCTGGTACTCTCCCAGCACCCAGTAGACTATGGTGTCCGGGGGGCTGGGACTGGTACATCGGAACACAAGAGTCGAGGTTCTGTCAGTGATACAGCACTCGTTGCTGACATCGTCGCAGCCAGGTTCTAGCGCGACCATCGGCTCCTCAACTGGTAATTGGGGCTCCACAGCTGTTAGTAGGGCTGGCGTGGGGAGAGAAAACCAGTAACCTTACCGCACCTAACGAAACAATGCGGGGTTCTCCGCAACGCAACAGCCGCGAGGTAATTCAACTCCCTACACAAAGAAGCCCTCACCGTTTGCCGGCTGGCCAGCTAGAGCTGCGACAGAGACGGCCATCAGTACTGCCTGGAGCGACACAAACAGAGACATCGCGACACACCGGAGCGAAGACTTCTGTCAGGGCGGGGCGGTTCTTCGGCAATAATGGTCCGAGAAAAATATTGGTGATTAGTCATTGTTATTGCACTGCTCTCTATATTGAAAGCACTGGCCTGCCGCCCTGCAAGAAGAGAGAGAGAGAGGATGTCTCGGTCGTTGCTCCTTGCGACACTTGTAGCCGCCAGCTACTTGGGTGTGTGTATCGGTAAGTTGGTTTCTTCTGTGCGAGCGAGCGGGGGCGCGCGTATGTCCTCCAGGTCCGCCGCCACACCGCCCCTACAGAAAACCAATGGGACTGAAGAAAGGAGTCCATTTTAGTGAGGTGTCCATAATTCAGGAGTTAAATTGCATGCAACAACTGTTCTTTGGGTAAGGAAAACGTGTCCTTTTGTCCTTGAGACGGTTTTAGCTAGCATCATTTTCCCTTTTTCCTCTCCATGCAGCTTCCGTGGAAGTACCAGCCCCTACGCTGGTCAAGACTAATGATGCCCCCGAGTGCATTCCACCATCGGCCATGGTTGATGGAAGGATAAACTACACCGCCAATTGTTTTTCACCCAGGGGGTCAGTCGTGTGGCTGATCGGGGATTACGCAATGGTGGACAGAGACCAGTTCAAAGGGGAAATATATGGAGTCTTCATTGAGGATCCTAGACCAAACAACTCGAACATGACACTCTTTCCCGAAGGAGCTGACTTTCTCTTGGAATCCTTTGGAGGCCGCTCCTTCACCATCAGATGTCAGACTATAGTTGACGAGGTTAATATCAGGAGGTCGGAGAATGTTTTTACCTTCTATGGAGGATGTAAGTTGCACTATCAGAGAGGGAGGGAAGAGAAATATGGCTATTTTTAAAGTTTCTATTTTTAGAACTGTTGTCTTCATTCACTCCTTATTTCAGTTCGTCCAATTCCTGGTCCTGAAGTGAGCAGTGTCCTGAAACAAGGCGACAATTACATCATCAAATTCACATATCAGGTATGTATTGTGGGTTTTGTGTGAATGTTACCTCACTCTCTGTGGCTCAGTGTCCAGACATGGCTGAAAGTTGCGTTGGGGACACGGACAAGGTACTCTATTCTCTAGATCTCTCTGAAGGCTCATGCTCCATGGCTGATGACTGCGGCACCGACGGGCGCATGGACTGGGAGTGTACCGACATCATGAGCCTAGACAGTCTAACAGCTACTCTGACTGCCCGTGTTGGTGACGACGGCTTCGCACCCTCCTTCATCACAGAAATCCGTTAGACTGTCTCTGTTTCTTGTTTCTCGCCTTACTTTCATTTCTCCCCCAGCACCGGAGGCGCTCACTGTTGAATATCCATGTAAGTATCTCACCTTCTCTCCCTTTACCCCCACCTTCTCTCCGTTATTATAGCTGATGATGATGATGGTGATGGTGATGATGATGATGGTGATGATGATGATGGTGATGGTGATGATGATGATGGTGATGATGATGGTGGTGATGCGATTCCCCCTTGGCTAATAGCAGTCCTAGGAATAGTGGCCTTTGCTGCTGGTTTAGCTATTGTCATTGTTCCGGTTGTTGTGTTCATCTGCATTCGTGGGTCCAGGAATAAAATATGTATGTGGGAATTTCACTTGTCAATCATTATTAAGACACACCCCCACTCTCTTTCTCTCCTCCAGCACCGAAGCCTACACACGTGAGGATGGAATCAAGGAATCATGAAGAAGAACGTGTGGCGAAACATGCTGAAGCTCTGGGTCATTAATAGTTTTGAGTGACGTTTCCCTGGACGCTATATAGAATGTTTTGTCTTTGCACAACACTATCCCAATACACTAGTGCATGCATATATAGCACTTTTTGTTCAGTAGCACTGTATTATGGTGGTTTGTTTTGAAGAACATCAGTCTGCTATCTACCTGTACACTGCTGCAGAAAATTCCACACATTCTTAGAATAATTGAGGACTAATATAAATCAATTTGGTATATAGTAGTCACACACATAATGTGAGTGATCATTTGTAGTCCTTTGCCGCTTCAGGATAATATAATGTATGCACACAATACATTATAATATACACAGAAAACAAATACAAAAGGGAAACGTTCTCAAATGATGATGTTGTGTATATTGTAGTATTGCTCTTTCTGTTGCTTCAAAAAGAGCAAAATAACGTAAAACTCAAACAGTGCTCACAGACTATAGATGCTAGTTATACCTACGTAAGGTGCCTACATAATGTACGTGTTGGTATGGCAACAGTTAATCACATTTTGGACCCTTCATTTCCACTGTATTTCCAGCACAGAAGGCCAGAGATGGCGACAGCTGCCACCAGACCCACTACGAAGCAGACGATGATGACGATGATGAGAGTAGCGGTATTATCATCATCATCATCAGTTGTCACCGTATGATCAGTTGTCACCGTAGGATCAGTTGTCACCGTAGGATCAGGTGTTTCCGTAGGATCAGGTGTCTCCGTAGGAGAGGTAGGAGTAGGAGTAGGAGTGGGGGTGGAGGGGGTGGGGGGGGGAGGGGTAGGAGTGGGACATCCAACTGCACCTGGGGTGGCATGGTAGACAGACAGTAAGACACTATAGTTTGCCACATTCAAAGAAGTAGGAAAGTTGACCACAAAATTAACTTCATACGTGACATCATAATTATCATGTGTGTATGTACACGATCCCCCCCTCTCCCCACACCTTTTTTGCAAGTGCTCACTTCTAATTCTTTACCTTTCTCTCACTTCGCACAGCAAAATAGCTGTTGTTAACTAGAGTTTACTAGTAATTACTGAAACATGGATAGCTATGTTGAAAATCTAATGCATGTATATATGAGTCTTAGATACTACTTCAACTTCTTGTGGGAACTTTTGCAAGCGACGCACACAGGTTGACGTTGTGAACTGACTGTCAAAGAAGGTGATCTTCGGGCTCCTCCTGATGTTGACATTGTTGAAAACAGAGATGCAGTGGATGGTGAACTGTGTGGAATTGAAACTTTCGAACAACCTCGTAGTGCCGGCAATGGTCATATTTAGATCACTGTAGGTATTGGCAAATCCATCGTCGACACGAGTCTCTTCAAAAGTGATGGCGAGACCAGTTTCACCGGTTTCAGTGAACTCTGACAGATCGACCACCTGGTACTCTCCCAGCACCCAGTAGACTATGGTGTCCGGGGGGCTGGGACTGGTACATCGGAACACCAGAGTCGAGGTTCTGTCAGTGATACAGCACTCGTTGCTGACATCGTCGCAGCCAGGTTCTAGCGCGACCATCGGCTCCTCAACTGGTAATCGGGGCTCCACAGCTGTTAGTAGGGCTGGTGTGGGGAGAGAAAACCAGTAACCTTACCGCACCTAACGAAACAATGCGGGGTTCTCCGCAACGCAACAGCCGCGAGGTAATTCAACTCCCTACACAAAGAAGCCCTCACCGTTTGCCGGCTGGCCAGCTAGAGCTGCGACAGAGACGGCCACCAGTACTGCCTGGAGCGACACAAACAGAGACATCGCGACACACCGGAGCGAAGACTTCTGTCAGGGCGGGGCGGTTCCGCCTTAGGACACCTGCGTTATCGTTTGACAGATGTGCCGCCCCAGCCAAACTTCGGCAATAATGGTCCGAGAAAAGATTGGTGATTACGTCATTGTTATTGCACTGCTCTCTATATTGAAAGCACTGGCCTGCCGCCCTGCAAGAAGAGAGAGAGAGAGGATGTCTCGGTCGTTGCTCCTTGCGACACTTGTAGCCGCCAGCTACTTGGGTGTGTGTATCGGTAAGTTGGTTTCTTCTGTGCGAGCGAGCGGGGGCGCGCGTATGTCCTCCAGGTCCGCCGCCACACCGCCCCTACAGAAAACCAATGGGACTGAAGAAAGGAGTCCATTTTAGTGAGGTGTCCATAATTCAGGAGTTAAATTGCATGCAACAACTGTTCTTTGGGTAAGGAAAACGTGTCCTTTTGTCCTTGAGACGGTGTTTTAGCTAGCATCATTTTCCCTTTTTCCTCTCCATGCAGCTTCCGTGGAAGTACCAGCCCCTACGCTGGTCAAGACTAATGATGCCCCCGAGTGCATTCCACCATCGGCCATGGTTGATGGAAGGATAAACTACACCGCCAATTGTTTTTCACCCAGGGGGTCAGTCGTGTGGCTGATCGGGGATTACGCAATGGTGGACAGAGACCAGTTCAAAGGGGAAATATATGGAGTCTTCATTGAGGATCATGGACCAAACGACTCGAACATGACGCTCTTTCCTGAAGGAGCTGACTTTCTCTTGGAATCCTTTGGAGGCCGCTCCTTCACCATCAGATGTCAGACTATAGTTGACGAGGTTAATATCAGGAGGTCGGAGAATGTTTTTACATTCTATGGAGGATGTAAGTTGCACTATCAGAGAGGGAGGGGAGAGAAATATGGCTATTTTTAAAGTTTCTATTTTTAGAACTTGTCCTCATTCACTCCTTATTTCAGTTAGTCCAATTCCTGGTCCTGAAGTGAGCAGTGTCCTGAAACAAGGCGACAATTACATCATCAAATTCACATATCAGGTATGTATTGTGGGTTGTGTGAACGTTACCTCACTCTCTGTGGCTCAGTGTCCAGACATGGCTGAAAGTTGCGTTGGGGACACGGACAAGGTACTCTATTCTCTAGATCTCTCTGAAGGCTCATGCTCCATGGCTGATGACTGCGGCACCGACGGGCGCATGGACTGGGAGTGTACCGACATCATGAGCCTAGACAGTCTAACAGCTACTCTGACTGCCCGTGTTGGTGACGACGGCTTCGCACCCTCTTTCATCACAGAAATCCGTTAGACTGTCTCTGTTTCTTGTTTCTCGCCTTACTTTCATTTCTCCCCCAGCACCGGAGGCGCTCACTGTTGAATGTCCATGTAAGTCTCTCACCTTCTCTCCCTTTACCCCCACCTTCTCTCCGTTATTATAGCTGATGGTGATGATGATGATGATGGTGATGATGATGATGGTGATGATGATGATGATGATGGTGATGATGATGATGGTGATGATGATGGTGGTGATGCGGTTCCCCCTTGGCTAATAGCAGTCCTAGGAATAGTGGCCTTTGCTGCTGGTTTAGCTATTGTCATTGTTCCGGTTGTTGTGTTCATCTGCATTCGTGGGTCCAGGAATGAAAAATGTATGTGGGAATTTCACTTGTCAATCATTAGTTGACACACCCCCACTCTCTTTCTCTCCTCCAGCACCGAAGCCTACACACGTGAGGATGGAATCAAGGAATCATGAAGAAGAACGTGTGGCGAAACATGCTGAAGCTCTGGGTCATTAATAGTTTTGAGTGACGTTTCCCTGGACGCTATATAGAATGTTTTGTCTTTGCACAACACTATCCCAATACACTAGTGCGTGCATAGCACTTTTTGTTCAGTAACACTGTATTATAGTGGTTTGTTTTGAAGAACGTCAGTCTGCTATCTACCTGTACACTGCTGCAGAAAATTCCACACATTCTTAGAATAATTGAGGACTAATATAAATCAATTTGGTATATAGTAGTCACACACATAATGTGGTCCCCCCAATTATGTTGCAATGTGCCCTGCCACATGATGATGTCGTGAGTGATCATTTGCAGTCCTTTGCCGCTTCAGGATAATATAATGTATGCACACAATACATTATAATATACACAGAAAACAAATACAAAAGGGAAACGTTCTCAAATGATGATGTTGTGTATATGTAGTATTGCTCTTTCTGTTGCTTCAAAAAGAGCAAAATAACGTAAAACTCAAACAGTGCTCACAGACTATAGATGCTAGTTATACCTACGTAAGGTGCCTACATAATGTACGTGTTGGTACGGCAACAGTTAATCACATTTTGGACCCTTCATTTCCACGGCATTTCCAGCACAGAAGGCCAGAGATGGCGACAGCTGCCACCACACCCACTATGAAGCAGACGATGATGACGATGATGAGAGTAGCGGTATCATCATCATCATCATCATCCGGTATAGGACAGTTTAGAACCGTGCGGGGGGTAGGAGTGGAGGGGGTGGAGGTGGGGGTAGGAGCAAGGGGAGCGGGACGTCCAGCTGCACCTGGGGTGGCATGGTAGACAGACAGTAAGACACTATAGTTTGCCACATTCAAAGAAGTAGGAAAGTTGACCACAAAATTAACTTCATACGTGACATTTTAACCTACATAATTATCATGTGTGTATGTACACACTCTCCCCACACCTTTTTTGCAAGTGCTCACTTCTAATTCTTTACCTTTCTCTCACTTCGCACAGCAAAATAGCTGTTGTTAACTAGAGATTACTGAAACATGGATAGCTATGTTGAAAATCTAATGCATGTATATATGAGTCTTAGATACTACTTCAACTTCTTGTGGGAACTTTTGCAAGCGACGCACACAGGTTGACGTTGTGAACTGACTGTCAAAGAAGGTGATGTCCGGGCTCCTCATGATGTTGACATTTTTGAAAACAGAGATGCAGTGGATGGTGAAATTGGTGGAATTGAAACTTTCGAACAACCTCGCAGTGCCGGTAATGGTCATATTTAGATCACTGTAGGTATTGGCAAATCCATCGCTGACAAGAGTCTTTTCAAAAGTGATGGCGAGACCAGTTTCACCGGTTTCAGTGAACTCTGACAGATCGACCACCTGGTACTCTCCCAGCACCCAGTAGACTATGGTGTCCGGGGGGCTGGGGGGACTGGTACATCGGAACACCAGAGTCGAGGTTCTGTCAGTGATATTGCACTCGTTGCTGACATCGTCGCAGCCAATATCTATCGTGACGATCGGCTCCTCAGCTGTTAAGAGGGCTGGCGTGGGGAGAGAAAACAGTAACCTTACCGCACCTAACGAAACAATGCCGGGCTCTCCGCAACGCAACAGCCGCGAGGTAATTCAACTCCCTACACAAAGAAGCCCTCACCGTTTGCCGGCTGGCCAGCTAGAGCTGCGACAGAGACGGCCACCAGTACTGCCTGGAGCGACACAAACAGAGACATCGCGACACACCGGAGCGAAGACTTCTGTCAGGGCGGGGCGGTTCTTCGGCAGAGAAAATATTGGTGATTACGTCATTGTTATTGCACTGCTCTCTATATTGAAAGCACTGGCCTGCCGCCCTGCAAGAAGAGAGAGAGAGAGGATGTCTCGGTCGTTGCTCCTTGCGACACTTGTAGCCGCCAGCTACTTGGGTGTGTGTATCGGTAAGTTGGTTTCTTCTGTGCGAGCGAGCGGGGGCGCGCGTATGTCCTCCAGGTCCGCCGCCACACCGCCCCTACAGAAAACCAATGGGACTGAAGAAAGGAGTCCATTTTAGTGAGGTGTCCATAATTCAGGAGTTAAATTGCATGCAACAACTGTTCTTTGGGTAAGGAAAACGTGTCCTTTTGTCCTTGAGACGGTGTTTTAGCTAGCATCATTTTCCCTTTTTCCTCTCCATGCAGCTTCCGTGGAAGTACCAGCCCCTACGCTGGTCAAGACTAATGATGCCCCCGAGTGCATTCCACCATCGGCCATGGTTGATGGAAGGATAAACTACACCGCCAATTGTTTTTCACCCAGGGGGTCAGTCGTGTGGCTGATCGGGGATTACGCAATGGTGGACAGAGACCAGTTCAAAGGGGAAATATATGGAGTCTTCATTGAGGATCATGGACCAAACGACTCGAACATGACGCTCTTTCCTGAAGGAGCTGACTTTCTCTTGGAATCCTTTGGAGGCCGCTCCTTCACCATCAGATGTCAGACTATAGTTGACGAGGTTAATATCAGGAGGTCGGAGAATGTTTTTACATTCTATGGAGGATGTAAGTTGCACTATCAGAGAGGGAGGGGAGAGAAATATGGCTATTTTTAAAGTTTCTATTTTTAGAACTGTTGTCCTCATTCACTCCTTATTTCAGTTCGTCCAATTCCTGATCCTGAAGTGAGTAGTGCCCTGAAACGAGGCGACAATTACATCATCAAATTCACATATCAGGTATGTATTGTGGGTTGTGTGAACGTTACCTCACTCTCTGTGGCTCAGTGTCCAGACATGGCTGAAAGTTGCGTTGAGGACACGGACAAGGTACTCTATTCTCTAGATCTCTCTGAAGGCTCATGCTCCATGGCTGATGACTGCGGCACCGACGGGCGCATGGACTGGGAGTGTACCGACATCATGAGCCTAGACAGTCTAACAGCTACTCTGACTGCCCGTGTTGGTGACGACGGCTTCGCACCCTCCATCACAGAAATTCGTTAGAATGTCTCTGTTTCTTGTTCCTCCCTCGCCTTACTTTCATTTCTCCCCCAGCACCGGACTCGCTCACTGTTGAATGTGCATGTAAGTCTCTCACCTTCTCTCCCTTTACCCTCACCTTCTCTCCGTTGCATATTATAGCTGAAGATGATGATGGGGATTTTCCCCCTTGGCTAATAGCAGTCCTAGGAATAGTGGCCTTTGCTGCTGGTTTTGCTATTGTCATTGCTCCGGTTGCTGTATTTATCTGCGTTTGCAGGTCCAAGAATACACAGACATGTATGTGGGAATTTCACTTGTCAATCATTAGTTGACACACCCCCACTCTCTTTCTCTCCTCCAGCACCGAAGCCTACACACGTGAGGATGGAATCAAGGAATCATGAAGAAGAACGTGTGGCGAAACATGCTGAAGCTCTGGGTCATTAATAGTTTTGAGTGACGTTTCCCTGGACGCTATATAGAATGTTTTGTCTTTGCACAACACTATCCCAATACACTAGTGCATGCATATATAGCACTTTTTGTTCAGTAGCACTGTATTATGGTGGTTTGTTTTGAAGAACATCAGTCTGCTATCTACCTGTACACTGCTGCCGAAAATTCCACACATTTTTAGAATAATTGAGGACTAATATAAATCAATTTGGTGTATAGTAACCACACACATAATGTGGTCCCCCCAATTATGTTGCAATGTGCCCTGCCCTCAAGGGACTAATCTGGGGTTGGAGACCAGAGAACCTGCCCTCACCAGAACAAATGTGTGTGATGACTATTGAGAAGTTCTTGGTTGTATTGTGTATCATGCAGCGCCTGCCACGTCAAAGATCGGTCACAATGCTAGAGAGAGTTTAGTCAGCATGCAGCACAAGGCACAAACATTAGAGTATCAGCAGTAGGACAATATAAGCTCTTGGCTACCTTGGCAAAACTGACATATGATGCCATATGGAGGATGTGCAGTCTAGTCAGCAACGAGGGAGTGCAGTGAGAGGAAACTGCAAGTGTAGTTTACACACTAGTTACTATAAATGACCTGCTGTTCAGTTCCGGCACATTACAGCAAGGGTTAGTACAGCAGCTTATGAGGAGTGACTTGTTGGCATGTATCACCCGCCTGCTCTAAGTGGTTCAACTCCAGTGAACTGCTGCTATTCCACAACCTACAGTCTTCATAAGGAAGCCACGACAAAGAAAGTCAGAGAAACTGGAATCTCACACACCAGATGCAGCCTACAACTCTGGACATGTTTACTCTATTGTAGTAGGCCACTTCCTTTCTGAAACTAATCAGTAAGGGGTAAATCAGTGGGTTAGTAAGTGGCAGGGTGTTTCCCAGGGTATTTCCCCCAATAACTGCTCCTCAAGTCCCACTAGTTCCACACAATAATGAGCCTTTGTAATGTTCCACTGAAGGTTAGAACAGCAGTCAGGCTTAGAACAACATTAATTTTTAGCTCACTACAACGTTACACATGTTGATGATAGCATTGTGACATGTACAGTACAGTCGTGCTAAGAGGATGAGGAAAAGGAGGGGAGAGGGAGTTGAGAAATGGCCGCCTGGTGGAAGATGGCGGTTGCTCTGTCTCTGTCTCCTAGTTCTCCAGTCACCTGACCGAGATAGTACCCACACAACCAATCTCCTGGCAACAGTCTGAGAGCTGTGGAGAAGGAAAACCATTGATCCAGGACACTCATGAAGAGACATCTGAAAAACTAATCTCACCTGATTGGTAATCCTGCTGAGCAGCCTGCAGGTCGCCACGGCAACGATAGAGGTTTCCTCTGTTGAAGAAGGCATGCGCAGCGTGTGGGTTGAGGGAGATGGCACCTGAGAGGTCAGCCATTGCTCCTTCTCTCTCTCCCACCATCTCTCTTGCCAACCCTCTGTTTACTAACACCACGTCACCATGACTACCTCTTTCCAGGGCCTTGCTGTAACTCCTGGTAATGTGAAATGGGTACAAAATGTTACACAACAAAAACTTTTGTGGTTTCATGGAAACACAGTTGTAGATGACAATTTCAATTCAACATCAGATGAAATTCATTATCACTATTGATAATTCATGCATTTCAACATTGTACGTTGTGGCTTCCTGACCTTATAGCGTCACGGAAACGGTGTTCAGAAAACAATATGTTCCCGATGTTGAAATGACCCAGGGCGTACTTAGGATCTATTGTTAGTGCTCGTTGGTAGTCTTGCATGGCGTTAGGCCGGTCGCCAAGGAAACAGTGGACCACACCCCTATTGGTGAGTGTCTCGGGGGAGGGGAAGAGGAAGATGGAGCGAGAGAGATCCGACATGGCTCCCTGGAGCTGCTCCATTTGCAGACTGACAATCCCTCGTGCTGCCAGCAGGTCTGGACTCAGATCTGTCGGACCAGGAGAGAATTAAACTATATACAGTGAAATCCTTCTCTAAGGACACCCCTGAAATGACTAACAAGGACACGTTTTGAACTAATATGGACACTTTCGTCTGTCCTATTGGTGTCTGGATTAGAAGGGTTGCGCTGCATATGTACACTAAACAAGGGTTATGATAAGTATATTTTGGACAGTGTGCTGTGGTGACATGTTGAATCAACTTAGCCCCCAATCAACTGCAGCTATCACAACAGGAAAAACATACTCTAAACTCTATAGTTCTGCAGTTCATCTCACCCTGGTCCCTGGCAGAGCCCTCAGTTAGAGTGTTCCAGGCATCCATGAATCTTCCCTCTGACTGGAGGAGATATGCCATGCTGATCCTGGCAGACTCACTGTGTGGATCCAGTTCCAGTGCCTGGCAATAGTTTATATTACACATCTCAATAATATGTGCCCATCTACTTACGAAGTATAATATACATACACATGTATAAAATAACATGTGATGGAACTCTCAAATCTGGACACCACGTGTATAAAAAAGTGTTCTTACTATAGTCAGGTGTCCTTCTCAAAGGGTTAAATTGTAGGGATCATTCATTTCTATGGCTGACCTTAGAATAATCGTGTCTGGCGTTATCCCTTCCCTCCTCCGTCCCACTGTCCATATACACATCTCCTCTCCCCAACATGGCCTCTATGAAGACAGGGTCTAGACCTAGAGCTGATGTATAGGCCGCCAGAGATGCTGGAAGATTGCCGGCTCTGTGGTGACATAGTGCTAGTGCGTGGGGCAGTGACGGGTCCTCTGGAGTTAGCTGGGGAGAGGGGGAGGGAAGAATGTGTAGTGAACACATGTGCAAGAAACACACGTACACTATGAGGGGTATAATACTAACAGTATACTTTCAGTTTACTGTTAGTTTAAACTAACAGTATGACATTGAACTGAAAGTAGAGTGCCGTGGGGGTTCGAGTCAAAACACTGTCTGCCTGTTCCTGGGTGTCGTAGAGCTGTAAACTAGCATTGCCTCTTCGTACAATATGACTAATATGAGTGAAAAGAGAGGGGCTAACCTGTTGAGCTAGAGACAAGTCGTGTATGGCAGTGGTCATGTCTCCTCTCTCTAGACACAGCAGACCTCGGTTGACAAGTAGAGGGAGGAGGAGAGGAGAGGGAGGGAGGGAGAGAGGAGAGGGAGGGAGGGAGAGAGAGGAGAGGGCACTGCTATAGTCAGCCAATGCCTGTTGGAGAGCGAGGCAAAGTTTGGAGTAACATTTTGTTCCAACACTTGTTTTACGAAACTGACACCACAAAATCAGTTGGTAGAGCGCTCGCTCGCCTAGACTGCAGAGTGTCGTGGGTTCGAATTCCACCGAGGGCAACTCTTTTAAAAGTACTGCAGAGTGTCGTGGGTTCGAATCCAACCCAGCGCAACTCTTCTTCTTTTTTTAAAAAAAGGTAAAATTTAGACTGCAGAGTGTGGTGTGCTCCTACATACTGAGTGAGAGTATACTGTGCCATAGCACAGTGGTTTGAGGTTTGCCTTGTGTTGTGTTGTGTTGTAGATTCGAACCCCTACCAGCTGAGTTGCCCTGGTAGCTCAGTGGGTAGAGCGCTCGCTTAGACTGCAGAGTGTCGTGGGTTCGAATCCCACCCAGGGCAACTCTTCTTCTTTTCTTTGAAAATAAAGAGCTGTCCTTGGTGTAGTTGACTTGCCGTTGCCTTGCCTTTCTACCTCGCTACCAAGTTGTTGAGACGTCAATAATATCTGAAGTGTAAGCACTTGCAGATCAATGAAAGATTGGCTGCAAAATGCCACAGAACAGTACAACATGAGAGAAAGACTTGCCTTTTCGAAGTGGCCCAAGGCATGATATGCCTGAGCTCTGTTGTAGAGCGGAAGGTAGACATGAGACGGTGCCAACTGAATTGACTGTGTTAAGTCTTCTATTGATGACTGATAGCCCGCATTCAGATACTTTACCACACCTCTGGAGGGAGAGAGAGAGATTTGGTAAAGGTGACTAGTTATAGCAGTAGAATGACAGCCCTGCAATAAGGACATATGGACACTTTCTTCTGTTCAATTGATGTCTTGATTAAAGGGGTCGTATCATGAGGTAAGGTAGAACATTACCTGTACAGGAAGGCTCTACAGCTGTGTGGAGAGAGAGAAATGGCCTCATTACAGTTGAGAATGGCTTTAGCCAGTCTGCCCTCTCTTGCAAACTGAGCTGATCTTGTCAGGTATGCCTGCAGTAGGGAGCTCACATACGTTACATGTACATTGAGCAAGTACATGCACAAACCTACCCTGTATGACTGAGGGTTTGCAACCAGTGATCTATTGATATCTTCCAATCCAGACTTATTCTGCCCCAGACGAAGGCTGGCCACACCCCTCATGTAGTACACCATCTCATGAAAAAGGCGTGGCACCTGCCCCGCCCCATGCCCCGCCCCTAAAACCTTCAAAACTTTGTCCTCTTCCCCCTGCATACAGGTGGGCAACGCCCAGAACAATCCTGCACTCTGATTGGTCGGTTTCAGTCACGTGACTCTCAGGTGACCCCAGAACTTGAATGGCTTCCCAATAGCGACCGGCTTTCGTCAGAAGTTTCCCTTGTAGCAGGGAGTGAGAGGGAAGAGCCGTCGCTATGGATACTGCCTGCAATGTCGGACAGGATATTTCGTAATGTTTGTCGCCATAGAGATAATACAAACCTCGTCATTTTCATGAAGGAATGCAGCAACGAGGGCCTTAACGGCCGAAGGCTCATCGTTCATCGTCAACTTCCTCACAATCCTAAACATTACGTAATGATGATGTAATAACGATGACGTCATTGTACACGTACAATGCGTGTTCCTTGGCTCTGGGGGTGTTGTGTGAGAGTCTGGAGAGGTTTCCTCTGAGGATGTAGGCAGTGGTGGTGTCAGGTGACATGTGGACTAGTCTGCTGTAGTCTCTCTCCGCTTCCTTTAGCTACACCACAGACAGGGGGGAAATAATAACAGAGAAAACGAAAAAAGCTTCAATATTAGCATGATGTTCTTTGTTATGTGCCAAGAAGAGGCTTATGCGGAACCCCTCTCTAAGGACACTTCTGAAATGATCTCTACCCAAAAACAGTTCTTGCACCGTGAAAAAAAAGTTCATTGGTGCCCATATTTACAGCATTAAATTATTCACCAATACTCCATACGGAAATTGTCACGAAATTAGCTGTATATACCTTTCCCTGGCAGAGAAAGGCCTGTGCTCTGGCAAGGAGGGCAGAGGTTGAGGTTGGGTCAACTCTCAGTGCAGACGACAGGCAGCGAACAGCTCGTGCTGGGTTGCCGAGGAAGGTGTGGTGGAGAAGGCCAGATATGAGGTGGGCGGAGAAGAAAGAGGGGTGGAGGGAAATGGCTGAAGTCAGGTCAGACAGAGCCTCCTGGTAGCTGGAGCAAGATGGATTACCACAACATGTAGCAACACATTATTGCAGCAAGCTAATGAGAATGTGAAATACGCGTAAAAAGAAAAAGTTTTTGTTTATTTTTTTGGTTGTTACTGTGTTTTTTGTTGTTTGTTGTTGTTTTTGTTTCATAATTTTTCTGTTCCTTTTTTCTGTTTTTTTTCTCTGTACCTCTGTATAATATGTATGCTGTATCTCATTGTAGTAAGAAAATTGAGAGGAATTACTAAAACGCACCAGTGTAGTTTGACGTAGACCAGGGCCCTATAGAGATGTATACTAGCGGTCAGGTGTGAGGAAGAAGACGAGAGAAGAAGAGCCACACTGAGATCCCTGAGGGCCCAACGAGGATCTAACTGCCGCATGAGACAGCCACGCCAGAACCTCGGTTGAGGGTCCTCTGGGGCAAGGTGTACTGCAGTACACAGCTCTCGCAATGCTTCCTCCTGCCTCCCCTGGAATTAGTGATTACATCATCGGGGTTTAGAACGATGTAACGGCCTTACCAGGTGCATGAGTGCCTGAGCTCGTTGAACTCTGACCCTTGTGAGGGTGGGTTGTGAGTGCAGTACATGGCAATAGTTAGTTTCGGCCTCCGCCCATTTCCTGGAGAGTGTCAGTACAAAACAATGGAGAAGGAGAATAGGCAAAAGAGTGGCTGTGAATGAAGAAACACCCACTTTGGACCTTTCTGGCTAGTGGCTAGTGATTATGAACGTAGCTGTAGATGAAGACTGACTTTTCTCTAAGACAATGATCTCCGACTTTCTCAAGAGACATGAGATCACGAGGGGTAAGGTTCAGCACCATCTGACGACAGAGAAAGAAAAAAATCCATAGGAAAAACATTACTAACCATGGATTTATGTTTTTTTGGTAAAACAAAATCTTATGAACCATATTCGATGAATGACGTATTTAGGCAAAACTTACTAGCCATGCATAAAAAATAACTGAATGTTGTATGCACAACTTAAACTGATTCATGGATTGTTTAAAGCAAACTCACGGAAAAAAATGGGCCAGCCCTCCATCTCTCCAGACAGACGTCTATGGATTGTTTTAGGCAAGATGCATGAATGGCAAGGTTGGAAAAAAATGGGCCAGCCCTCCTTCTCTCCAGACAGACGTCTATGGATTGTTTTAGGCAAGATGCATGAATGGCAAGGTTGAAAAAAATGGGCCAGCCCTCCATCTCTCCAGACAGACGTCTATGGATTGTTTTAGGCAAGATGCATGAATGGCAAGGTTGAAAAAAAATGGGCCAGCCCTCCTTCTCTCCAGACAGACGCTATGGATTGTTTAGGCAAGATGCATGAATGGCAAGGTTGAAAAAAATGGGCCAGCCCTCCATCTCTCCAGACAGACGTCCATGGATTGTTTTAGGCAAGATGCATGAATGGCAAGGTGGAAAAAAAATGGGCCAGCCCTCCATCTCTCCAGACAGACGTCTATGGAATGTTTTAGGCAAGATGCATGAATGGCAAGGTTGAAAAAAATGGGCCAGCCCTCCATCTCTCCAGACAGACGTCATGGATTGTTTTAGGCAAATATTTCATAAAGAAAAACATTTGTGGGCCAGCCCTCCATCTCTCCCTAGACAGATGTCTACGGACGCAGTGCAATGCCGAACTATTGAGAAATATGGGTCAGTGGTAGATTCATGGGTAAGGGGAGGAACCAGAGCTGTTCCCAGCCAATGCTCTGGACCACCTGACACTTTAGTGCAGGTCCGGTGAGTCAGTGAGTTGTTTGGTTTTTAGCACATTTCACACATTTAGAGTATGCAGGCTTTCCTGGACCTACATTATAGTCGTGAAGGGCCTTGTTGTGATGTCCTAATATTTCATAGACACCAGCTCGTTCCCTCAGCAGCTCAGGACTATCTGGACACATTGCAATGGCCTAGGAACAGAGCAATCACAGGAGATATTAAAGACTTTATGTGGTACAGTTTTGGTGAGTGTTTTTGTAGAAAGTCTGTTACTCTTGAAACCAGTTTCATAAAGATCCCATTTTACCTAAGGCTTGGGGGAAAAGAGCTGTCGTGGGTGTAGTTGACTTCTTTGTTCTGCCTTTGCCTTTACGTACGTATGTGTGTCACACGCATTTATATGTATAAACCACATATGTGGTGCATTTGTGTCGAATTAAGAATAGTTGCAAAGTGTATCATATATATATGTACTTGGGAGAGAAGTGGCAGAGAGAGGGAGGGATCCGTCTTCTTGTTATGGTGGACAAGTGCCATCAGTGACATGAACACAAGTCCAGCCTCGCAATCCTGAGAGACGAGAGAAGAGGAGGGGGAGGAAGATGCGATGGTCTGCAGGTCAGCAAGAGCAGAAGAGTGGGAGCCAGCCGTGAGGTGGAGCAGATGTCTGGTCCAGAGAGCCGAGGAATAGGAGGGGGAGAGGGAAAGGGACCGGTTTACATCTCTCCATGCCTCCTGCAGCCTGTAGGAGGGAGGGACAAATGTACAGATAGGCATCTGAATCGTCAAAATGGCCACTTTATACACACGTACAATAGACTACGGAAACTATGTACGTACCTGCCCATCTTCCTAAGCAAAGCTGCTCTCTGGCTCAGCAGACACGCCGTCTCTCCGTCTTTCTCCATCTTCTCATCTACCTCCTCACACTGCACAGGGGGAACTTCAATTATTGCAGGGGCCAAATATTAGTTCCCCACCTCTTCCTCCCATGATTTTAGGTCCCCTTCACAAGTAGATGTCGTCCGTAATTCAATCACATCTTCTTTCTCCTGCCCCTCCTCCCTCCCTCTCTTCCCTCCCTTCTCTCTTTCCACAATCTCCTGTTCTTCCTCACCAAACCCTCCCTCGGGGATTGACGAACCAATCAGAGCTCGCAGCTGGTCGCCATGGTAATACTGTGCCAACGCCCGCCGACACTCACGGAGAGCCTCAGGAAACCACACCCCCCACCAAAGTTCCTGCGTCCAGGTCCAGGGGTCAGAGTTCACTGGAGCTCCATATTTGGTCATCAGGGCAGTGAAGTCATCATCACAGTAGTGTGAAATGGAAAACCTGAGCAAGTGAGCAAGTTGCAAATTGTTAATCGCAATTTTTTTTATCCTCAAGGTGCAATTTTTCGATTATTATTAAGATCCCTAATCTGCAATTTTTATTTATTTTCGATACTTAATCAGCAATTTTTATTAGGGCCTCGATACTTAAGTTCACACCCTAAGTAGGGCTAGGGCTTAGGGCCTTGATACTTAAGTTCATACCCTAAGAAAGTAGGGCTAGGGCTTAGGGCCTCGATACTTAGGTTCATACCCTAAGTAGGGCTAGGGCTTAGGGCCTCGATACTTAAGTATTGGACTAAGTAGGGCTAGGGCTTAGGGCCTCGATACTTAAGTAATTGGACTAAGTAGGGCTAGGGCTTAGGGCCTCGATACTTAAGTTCATACCCTAAGTAGGGCTAGGGCTTAGGGCCTCGATACTTAAGTTCATACCCTAAGTAGGGCTAGGGCTTAGGGCCTTGATACTTAAGTAGGGCTAGGGCTTAGGGCCACGATACTTAGGTTCACACCCTAGGGCTTAGGGTCTCGATACTTAGGTTCATACCCTAAGTAGGGCTAGGGCTTAGGGCCTCGATACTTAAGTTCATACCCTACGTAGGGCTAGAGCTAGGGCCTTGATACTTAAGTAGGCTAGGGTTAGGGCCTGATTACTTAAGTAGGGCTAGGGCTAGGGCCTCGATACTTAGGATTACCCTAGTAGGGCTAGGGCTTAGGGCCTCGATACTTAAGTCATACCCTAAGTAGGGCTAGGGCTTAGGGCCTTGATACTTAAGTTCATACCCTAAGAAAGTAGGGCTAGGGCCTCGATACTAAGGTTCATACCCTAAGTAGGGCTAGGGCTTAGGGCCTCGATACTTAAGTTCATGCCCTAAGTAGGGCTAGGGCTTAGGCCCTCGATACTTAAGTTCATACCCTAAGTAGGGCTAGGGCTTAGGGCCTCGATACTTAGGTTCATACCCTAAGTAGGGCTAGGGCTTAGGGCCTCGATACTTAAGTTCATTCCCTAAGTAGGGCTAGGGCTTAGGGCCTTGATACTTAAGTAGGGCTAGGGCTTAGGGCCACGATACTTAGGTTCATACCCTAGGGCTTAGGGTCTCGATACTTAGGTTCATACCCTAAGTAGGGCTAGGGCTTAGGGCCTCGATACTTAAGTTCATACCCTACGTAGGGCTAGAGCTTAGGGCCTTGATACTTAAGTAGGGCTAGGGTTTAGGGCCTTGATACTTAAGTAGGGCTAGGGCTTAGGGCCTCGATACTTAGGATCACACCCTAAGTAGGGCTAGGGCTTAGGGCCTCGATACTTAAGTTCATACCCTAAATAGGGCTAGGGCTTAGGGCCTCGATACTTAAGTTCATACCCTAAGTAGGGTTAGGGCTTAGGGCCTCGATACTTAGGTTCATACCATAAGTAGGGCTAGTGCTTAGGGCCTCGATACTTAAGTTCATACCCTAAGTAGGGCTAGGGCTTAGGGCCTCGATGCTTAAGTTCATACCCTAAGTAGGGCTAGGGCTTAGGGCCTCGATACTTAGGTTTATACCCTAAGTAGGGCTAGGGCTTAGGGCCTCGATACTTAGGTTCATACCCTAAGTAGGGCTAGGGCTTAGGGCCTCGATACTTAAGTAGGGCTAGGGCTTAGGGTTTAAGTTTATACCCTAAGTAGGGCTAGGGCTTAGGGCCTCGATACTTAGGTTCATACCTTAAGTAGGGCTAGGGTTCCTTATTTTGCAGTGATTATGCTCAATCTGGGACATGGTTTCGATAATAAAAAGTCGTAATTTCCCCCATAATTTCATAGCAAATATGTGTACACTGCAGCAATTAAGTTGCCTACATGTATACCTTCTGTGACGGCCGTGTTTCTGCCCCTCGAACTCTGCTTCACTGGTTGCCAAGGGATACGAGGCTCTTCGCAACCTCTGTCGACCTCTGCTGGCATCCAGAGCCTCTCTAGCCAGTTTTGTTCTGAGGATGGCGCTGGAGGTCAGGACTTGTGACCGCCTCTTTCTTCTCCCTCCTCCTCTCCCCTGTAACAGATTACATCATCATTACATCATAGTTTTTGACCACGTGATCCACGTCACATGACAGTATATTCTACTAAAATGCATTATGGCAAGCAATTGCCATTGCGAAATTTCAGCGGCTTACAAGTATAGAGTATGTAAAAAGTGATGTGTGCTTACAATGCTCTATGAATCTCCTTCGCGGGAGTCAGGATCACATGATCCACACAGTGGGCGTCACATGACAGTCATGTGTACCTGTATGGCCTGTCTTCTTAGTCTCCAGCCAGAGCTCGAGAGAGATAGAGATGTGTCTAGTTGTCTCTCTCCGCCTCGCGACTGTCTTCTAACTCGACCTGCACGCACAGAGTGTTGCAGCTAATTTCTCATTGGTCAATAACCAAAGAAGTCAACTACAACCAGGGCAGCTCCTTCCTTGGAAGAAAGAGCTGCCCTACAGGTGGGATTTGAACCCATGACACTCTCCACTCCAGGCAAATGCTCTACCACCTGAGCCACAGCAGGTAGGGGTTCATACCACACAATAGGAATATTATGTATGGAGATAGAGATAGTAACTGGGAGAGAGTGCAGAACCTCGCGGCACACTGATGGAGTGGTCCAGACGAGAAGACTGTCTCTGGGCAGCCAGACTGCCAGACTCTCTGTCTCCCAATAGACTCCTCCTCTGATTGGTCACTTCTCTAAGAACGATGTCATACTCTCTCATTGCCATGGCAGCCATGGGACTGGGATCAACTTTGGGTTTCGGAAGATGTTGGGGAGGAGACAAGGAAGTGGGGGAGGAAGGAGAATCTGGTTCAGTTGGACGTTGCGCTGTTGGTGAGGCTGGTGAAGAAGGAAGTGTTTCACTGGTCTCAATGACATCATTATGTTCCCTGATGATATCATTCAGTTTTCGGACATGTGCGTCTGTAACTGGTTCCTCAGAAGTTCTGCATCAGTTGAAAAGAGAAAAAAGTACAAAAAAATTTCACCAAATTTTGCCTCATGCATGCAATACACAGTTTTGGAGATTGCTCTTTTTGCGACAAACCTTGCACGAAAGGTCTTTAGTTGGGGTGAGAGATGTGGCAAAAGGTGAAAAGTCACTGTGCGAGGTCGCAGACTCAGTTTGGGAGGGACTGGTTGCCATAGCAAGCTAAGAAGAAACACCATGACAACCAGGCACATGTAAGAGAGGTGACAGACTTCGTGGGGGTTTGGGCAATTTCCAGTCGTTTCCCTGCTGCTGTCCAAACACCCCCACTCTGATCAGTAGCAGAACCCCCTGAGTCATGTGATCTCCCTGCCTGATCATGTGATGGGTCACATGACAGCTCATGTGATCCCCGGGAGATGCTCAGACGCTGCTGAGCCTGTACGGCAGCTGGCAGTTCAGCCGACAGTGGCTCTGTGGAGAGTTTAGTGACATATGGCTTCAATTGAGGAATTGGTTGTTTTCGTAAACAGAAATGTTTAGGACACAATCCAAACCTGTCCTGAATGTGGAATGAGTTAACGAAGCCATATATACCAGTGCAGAAATGGTGCATGGAGGTGTGAGAAGCCATATACTGGACACCAGCAGCTGCAGTAGTCGCAGTGCGTCTGGAGGAGAGAGGGAAGGAGGGAGGGAGGTGAAGGGAGAGGGGAGTTCCATGCAGAGACATTATTTCCTCCATCGTCACAGGACCAGAGGAGAATGCCAGCCCCTTCTGTACATAGGGAGAGTAGTTACTTTGACAACAGATATGGTTACCTTGACAACTCTCACAGCAATCTGATTGCTCCGAGTACTTTCACCGATGGTCACCCTTTCTTCCACCAGTGACAAATGGTCTCTACTGCCTAGTTCCTCGTTGGGTCCCAGACCACAATCCATTTCCCTTTCATCCACTGTTTTATCCACATCTTCACAACTGGCATTGATTTCTTCACCATGTCCCATTTCAACAAAATCTGCTCCGCCACCATCGCGTACAGTTTTCATGTCTGCACGATCCACCATTTCACTGCTTCTGGTCTCTAGTTCCAAATCAACTCGCACAGAGCTGAACAATTCGTAGCCTGCCACTTCTCCCTCTTTCGTGACCTCATCCTCCATTTCCTGGTCTTCACCAGATCTTTCCCTTCTCTCTCCTCTCTTCCCAGATTCAGCAGCTAAGTCCTCCTCTTCCTCCTCACTCCCTCTCTCTGATCCTGAGAGTGCAGTGTGACCAGGTGTGTAAGGTGAGAGGGAGGGGAGGGAGAGGGAGGGGAGGGGGGAGGGGGAAGGTTGTGACACTGAAGGTGACGAAGGAACGAGAGATGAGAGTTCTGATAACCGTCGTTCTTGAGTTTTGGTCTCCACGGCAACCATTTCTTCGCTGGAACTGGGAGTTAGTGAGGACACAGCTGATGTTGAGCGGAGCTCCGGAAGAGGGTGTAACTTCGGGACTACCAGTGGGCGTGGTTTGGTGGGAAATGGGTGCGGCTGATTTTCTGATTGTTTGCAGCCTTTGTCGTTGGTTTCTCTTTTACCATGCAGTTTCCATGACGATACAGGTGGGAGTTGGCGTGGTTTTTGGGTGTGGCTAACAGGTCCGGAGGTGTGATGGAGAGAGGAGATGGCAAGGGACTTTAGCTGAGGTCGCGATGTCGTTAGCACAATCTTCTTCTCTGCACTCTTAGCTTTCTTCTTTCTGTCAGACAACTTCACTGGCTGGAGCTAAAGGGTTGAACACTTGTAAAACAGCAACATCGAAAGTTTGATTATGATACACTTGTGATGTTAGTTTAGTACCAACTCACTAGATGAAAAAGCGAAAGTTTATGCAACCTGTTATGCTACACTGTGATGTTTGAAGAGTTTATATAGTACCAACTCACTAGATGATGTGAGGAGGGAGAGAGGGAGCGGGGCAGAGTAGCTAGAGACTGGTTCACCCCAGTTTCCATCAGATTCCTCTCCAGAGAACCCTGCAGTCGCTTTGTTTGTTTCCATGTGCCCAGCTATGACGTCATGGCTCACCTTTTCTCTAACATAGTCTAATTCCCGCTGCATTTTCAGCGCTCGCCTCCTGTTTGCGGCGTACTTCCTGCAAGATAAACGAATAGGGAGATGCGAACGGTATAAAACTACAAGCGTTTCGCGTATCTTTGTGTTACCTAGGGTCGGCCATCTCTCTTGCAGCTCTTCGCAGTTGCCAATAGCAACGTTTGGGTGCGCACTAATTAGCTAGTCACGTGTAGTAAAGATGGACTTGTTTCGAGGCGCCGTATCTCTACTCTACAGACGAAATCTGGTGCTACAGCAGTTGGAGGTGAGGTGGCGAGTCCTCCAGACGGCAGGCGGGTTCATCAGCCGTCGCTACGGAGCCGTATCTACGGCTGCAGTGATTGTGCTGTTACTGGACCTCGCCCTGGGCTGGACCGCCGCGTGGCTCTGGAAACACTACAATGCCGGGGGAATACTGGAGCACGGCGTCGCTCGCTACACGCTCTCGAGTCTGCGAGTGACGCGAGGGCTCCTGGACTGGGTTATGGGTGCTCCAGCCGGTCTGAAACTGAACACTCCGCTGAGTCTGTTCCTTGGCTCTCGCTGTCTCTATCTCCTGAGACTGTGGGAGATCTTCTACCGCGATTTCCTCTCCTTCTACCTTCCTCTCCTCATCCCCCTTCTCCCTGCACTCACCTCAACGCTGGGCCTGTCTCTTTCCCTCTCCCTCCTTCACGACTTCTTCAAATTTCTCAACCTTTGCCACATCTGTTTCTTCGTTTTTTCCTCTCGTCTCCTAAAACTACAGTTATCAGCTCTTCTGTCTCTATCACGCCTCTTTCGCGGCAAGAAATGGAACGTTTTACGTCAGCGAGTCGACTCCTGCGATTACGACACTAATCAGTTGTTGCTAGGGACGATTGTATTCACAGCCCTTCTGTTCCTGTTGCCAACGACAACAGTGTTTGCAGTCCTGTTCCTCTCCCTTAGAGTACTGCAGTGGACGGTGCAGTTGATGCTCCGAGTGCTGGTGGTGGGCATTAATTGGACCACCTTCACCTTCTTCAATACACTAGAGAGATTTGGACGAGAGGAACCGCTGTTGAAGCTGAGAATGAAGGAGAGGGAGGGAAGGAGGGAGTTGGTATGGAGAGGGAAGAGGTGGAAGTTAGGTGATTTGAAGAAAAAGGTGGAAAAGGCAGATGTGGATTGCATCGTCAGAGATTTACTAGGAGAGAGAGAAGGGGATACCCGTTGTCTCCCCCTGGCAACAGTTGCCGGGCTGTGGACTACCATCATTACCTAATCGTTCTCTTAATCACTGAACGTAGGTAGAAATGTGCTTTTTTCTCTTGGCATCACATGGTCTAATATCTTCATGTGATGAGACTATGAACTTCCACTCGTTTCCGTGAACCCAGAGAGCGAAATAGAGGCAAGATATATTATATGAAGAAAAGGGATAGGAACCGTGGAGACACACCGTTCCTATTCCACACTCCAATTGTAGTGAGGAGATGGCTGGTATGTCATTTCGTTTACTCGTGAACCTGTAAAAAAAAGGCAATTTAGAAGGGTTATCGTTTTTGTGCATGTCGCAAATGTTTCTTCGCAACCTTACCAGATATAATAATAAGAGCTCTATTTACTACTACCATAATAGTGTGGCTATCCTCTAGTTTTGCTGCTAGTCAGTCTGCGATACTCCTGACAAGACTTCGGCATTTTGTCTTTCGGCACATCCCTGAATCCCTGTCTTCTCCTGGCTGCATAGCACTCCTCCCTCAGGTCCTGCTTCCTTACACTCAGCACCTGCGGTCATGTGACAGTCATGTGACGAGTCATACAATCCTGAAATGCAATCTGATTGGCTCACATCTCTCTCCAGTTTCCTAACGGCTTCAGCAGTGCTGTATTCTTGACCAAATGACTCCTGAAAAAACAGCGAGTTTTCACAAAAGAGATACGTTGTGCGCAACCTTGTTGCCACTATACCTTAACAAAGTAGGGAACACTGTGCAGTTTAGTGTACCTCTCAACAGGATGTGAGCTACAGGAAATGAGGAGTCGACAGGAAGTGATGTAGACTGCACAAATTAATGGTCAGAAAGTGAGGAAGAGGAAACGTACCTGGTGCGGTAGAACTGGTATGGAGGAGAATAGAGGAATGGGTAGATAAAGGTGCTGAACAGAGATAGGAAGAGGATGAGGAAGACGGGCATCATTTGGAACAGCTGAAACCAACCACTGAGTGGCTGCTGGAGAGGTCAGGGATCAATGTAGTGTGTTACCATGGCTACCATTTTACCTCTCTCCTGTTGCCATGGTGATAGGAAAAATGAGTTCGTCTTCTTCTAGGAATGTCCATGAACACTAGAGAAATATCATGTACTGTAGTTGTACACTGAGAGAGAGGGAGGAAACTAACTGTCGTCGAAATGGAAATTGTCTCCAAAGAATGATCTAAATAGATCTTCTGGGTCCAGGTCACCATGGAAACCACGATGGAACGAGGCTCCGCCCCCTGACTGTGACCTACGAACCCCGCTCTCACCGTACATGTCGTACCTGTGACAGAGACAGGAAGTCATGTGACTTAGTTATGAGTCACATGATTATCACACACACACACACACACACCTTTTTCTCTTGTCTTTGTCACTCAAAACTCCGTAGGCATTGCTCACCGCTAAAAAAGATTACATCATAGACAATGACATCATCCAAATTTGTGATGGCAGAGAATTTATTTTTCGGAAAGAAATTTTTAACAGGTGAAAATCTGATAAAAGGCAGAGCAAAAAATTAGTCGAAGATAATTTGATGTGCAAATTTCGGCAGATTCAGCAACAGACTTGTACTCTCACTGTTTTACCTCTCATTTACATACAAACTCCCTTTGAAGAGTTTATCTTCCCTCTAGGCATTGCGTTGTGGAACAACAAGATGAGTCAAACCTCTAAAAGCCTCGTCTGCCTTGGGAGCTCTGTTCTTGTCGGGGTGGAGCTGGAGGGCCAGTTTCCTGTACTGTTTCTTGAGATCTGCCTCACTGGCGTCTCGAGACACCCCCAGTACCTCATAGTAGTCTCTGCAACGTAGAACACTGCCGACACAGAGAGAGAGAGATGTCTGAGTGGTCTGATGGTATTACGGGATATTCACACAAATCCTACTAGTTTTAATAAGAGTCCTGCTTTACAAAACACATTAGTGAAATCTGTGTTGTCTGGTTGAGGGTTAATGTGTGAGTTAATGTAGCAATGTCCATTGAGGAGCGTTCGTTTTCTCTCTATACCTTTCTACTGCCTCTCCTTGTTCTGGTGTGTGGTTAGCTCTTTCCCCTTCTCCTCCCCTCTCCTCCTCCTCCTCTTCTGGGCATCCATCACTTTGTCTTTGCCTCACACCCTCATTCCCTCCCCCTCCTCTCCCTTCCCCCGCTTCCCTGCAGTTTTCAAGCTCACTCAGGAAATCTGTAGAGTACACAACTCTAATTATACGGAGCCTGAAAACGAAAGTAATATTGAAAATAGTACGATATTCCCTCACCCTTGGCTTTCTGGTTGTCGTTGGGGTAGAGTTTTAGCGACTTTTCTGCCATCCGCATCGCCTTATCCAAGTCTCCGTCGTCTCTCGCCTTCTCCGCTTTTCTTAGACACACCATCGCTTGCTCCTTGTTTGCCGTTTCCATTATTCAACTTCTCCACACACGTACACCCCCCGGTACAACTGCACGCTCGTCCTCTAGGAAAAGTGCTGAATAGGCAACTTCGTGACTACAAGCCCCGCCCACTTCCACGCCCACTAACTGATTCTGTATGGAAGAGAGATGAAGCTAAAGTTTCTCTGCAATAATCGCCTCAGCGAGGCCCAACTGCAGGGACTGAAGACACACACATACAGGTATTACGTCACAACTTCACTACGTTGCGCGCGGCGGCTTCAGAACTTTCTATCTCTCCCTTACATATCTCCCTCATCTTTCTGTCAGTGCTGAAGGTACGTCGTTTGTGGAACCTGTTATGCAGGTGTATTGGCGTTGGTTGGTTACCAAGGTAATGTCAAACTTTACATGACTATCTGATCTGATATGTTTTTGACATTGACGCAAATGCACATGAACTGAAAGAATGGCCTGATAAAAATAGCACTGTTTACTACTGTTTGTGAACCATCCAATCCAGACACCAATGGGACAGTGTCCATATTAGTGAGGTGTCCTTATTTCAGGGGTTGAACTACACGCAAGAAGTATTCTTGGGGGAAGAAAGGTGTCCTAATCATTTCAGACGTTCGCCATCCCCGCAGATCCCACTGTGGGTGGCTCCTAATCTCCTCACTGGAGTTGGCTTCCTCGTCAACTTTGCCACCGTACTCCCTCTGTTGCTATTGGATACCAACCTAGAGGGCGTGGCACCCTCCTGGCTCTACGTCGCCGCTGGAGCCGGGTTCTTTATCTACCAATCTCTGGATGCCATCGACGGGAAACAAGCCCGGCGGACCGGTTCTGCAAACCAGTTGGGCGAGTTATTTGACCACGGCTGTGATGCCGTCTCCATGTTCCTCATCCTGATGTCGGGGGCGTCGGCTGTTGGTATCCATGACTACCCAATATCACTGCTGGTGTTTGTGGTTCTTCTGAACCAAGTCAACTTCGTATACCACTGGCAGACTTTCGTCTCCGGGACACTCCACTTTAACCTGTTAGCCACTAAATTTACACTGTCTCTTAACCTGTTGGCCACCAATTTTAATGTCTGCAGTACTCTTAAGTGTAACCAGTTAGCCACTAAATTATGTTAATTTTGTGTGTGGGACCATCAACTTAGTTAGCATCTACGCACTGCTCAAGTTTAACCTGTTGATAACTGAATTCACTGCCAGTTTTAACCCGTTTGTCCAGTTTCGACGTCACTGAGGGACAGTTTACGTCAATAGGCCTGTTGCTGGTACGAGGGATTTTTGGTCTGCAGTTATGGGATATCGAGGTACAACGGAATTGGGCTGAAACTCACATTCCTGTTTTACTGTCATGTCCATTCCCCCATTCCCCTACTACCCCATTACCCCATTCCCCTACTACCCCATTCCCCCATTCCCCAGCTCCCAGTAGTAAACATCCGACTGAAGATGGTGTTGATTGCTGTGATACTATCTTTCTCCTTTCTAAACCTGCTCCAACCATTCTCAGTCATACTGACAAGAGGAGTTGGGAAGAACGGAACCACTGTTGCAGTGAGTGTCTCCTCCTTATCACAGTAGTGAAGAATGCTTTAGGGATGAAAAACTGTTCTTCTGCTTTTACAAATCAATATTTGTTGTATGCGTACATGATCCATGCAACATTATGCATGAAATATAGTTTTTTCCTATTGTGTCCACATATTGAAATTGCACTGTAATGAATGATGTAAGGACAGTTTCTCTCTCATCCCTCCAGAACACAAGTGTCCTGTCTCCCCTAGTAACAATGATGATATTAGTTCCGGTGCCATTTCTCTACTATTCCTCTTCTCCCTCTCCCCTCCGCTCTCACTCCCTCCTCTTCATGTCGGCCACCACTCTGCCTGCTGTTAAAGCCACCATCACCATGATCGTAAGAACCACTCTAGCTGGAAAGTTTGGGTCGTATTTGGGTTGTAGCTACAGTTGAACCCTTCTCTAAGGACACCCCTGAAATGAGGACACCTTTTCTTTCCCCAAGAACAGTTCTTGTATGCTATTTTGATCAGTGATAGTTCTTGTATGCTATTTTGATCAGTGATAGTTTACACCCCTGCCCCCTCAGTTGTCCAGTATGACCAAGACCCCCTACCCTCTACTGTACCCCCTATATTTGGCCCCCTGGTTTACTCTCCTCAATGTCCTCATCGGCTCACCACTCCCTGAAATACCTCTCCTCTTTGTCGTCACAGTGAGTTGCTCCCGGCAATAAATTCTGATTACAAACTGAATAATATATTCAAGGTGTTCCTTATTTGGAGTATATATTTTGTCACAAGTATTCAATTCCCCACCATTAGGTCTGGGAGGTGGTAGACATCGCAGTGTTCTGCGTGACCGTCTGTCTCCAAGTTGCCAACTTTATTCAAGTCCCCATCTTCACCCTCCCTCCCAATGCATCCCCTCCCACCTCTGACATCACCATGACAACCTCCAAACACCCACATAGCTAGGTCCATTGTGGCTCTTCTGCTGATTCAAAGGTTCCTTCATTTCGATTTCACAAGGCAGTTTTACCCTCGGCGCGCATGCGCAGCGAGGGTACTGTAGTTGGGTCTACATCTCACCTCTCGAATGTCTGTTCGTCCCAGAAACGATACCATCTACCCAACGGGTGACGAAGGTCAGAAAATATGTGGGGTTTTCTCTGAAAATGCTCTAGAGCGCTTCCAGCATTGTATGGCCGGCTAATGACATTTTATCGCAGGCGGATAATGCGCATGCGCTTATATTTAGCACCCGGTCCGCTTGCTCTGTCTATCTTGAAGGCACAAGAAGTCACAACGAATGGCGTGTATCGACTCTCGCGTGCTATCTACTACTGTAGCTAGCCCGTGTCAGACTCTCTGCGAGCTACTTCGCCGAGGGTTTGCACTTTAGTGCTTTTCATTTACACTGTTCCCATTCAAGTAATGGGTGGTCTGATGGATAAGCACCCCCTCTCTTGATCCTGGTTCGATCCCGGGGGTGTGCGCCTTTTTTACAATGATGTAGGAGTGTTGGCTGTTGGTATAAGTGGAACGTTTTTTCATCACTTCTCAAGGCCAGCCCGAGTGGCTAGGTGGTTAGAGCCGTGGGGACTGACACCATAGGTGCCGGGTTCGTATCCCGATCCCGCACTAAAATGTCAGGTGGTCCAGAGCATTGGCTGGGAACAGCTCTGGTTCCTCCCCTTACCCACAAATCTACCACTGACCCATGTTTCTCAAAGGGCAGCGTACAGTTCGGCATAGCACTGCGTCCGTAGACGTCTGTCTGGAGAGATGAAGGGCTGGCCGTTTTTTTTTCAACCTTTTTTTTTGCACTAAACAATCCACGGGTAATACGAAAATTAATAGAGGGATGAAAGGTTGGCAATTTTTCAACCTTATATATTTTTTGGGCCTCAAACAGAAATAGGGCTGGCCATTTTTTTTGAATGGAAATGGTGATGTTCTATGGTCAAGACCATCAATTGTGGCAGTGCCACACTTGTGTATGGGTTCCACATTTCTCACTTTAGTGCTTTTCATTAAATCATTAATCAAGAAGTGAAGTGAGACGATAATAATGATGATGATTGGAACATAATTGTGATGAAAACTACAAGAGAAAATTATTGGTAATGTGGTGGGTGTTAATTAGAGTTTCTGGGCGGAGTCACCTTGGCCCGTGCCTTCCGTACCATCTGATACGCTATTTCAAATGCCTGTCCTATCGTCATGAGGATCTCCTCTGCTATCACCTTGGCAACGAATGAACCAATTATCACAGGGGCTCCTCATGAATTTGTTACCTACCTCATTCGTTGCCATGAAAACGTGACTGTAGTACATTCCAGTCTTGTCCTTAGTGATGTATGCAAACACTCGTTTGTCCTCGATATCCTATTATATAGCATTATGTAATTAAAATTGACGTCATTATGATGTAATAGACTAACGTACCTGGGAACAGTAAGAGATGTCCTGAATGGCGTGGGTACTGACTACCATCTGAGATCATCAGTATTATCACATGATTATATATAGGATGCCACGGCAACCAACCTTGGACTTTCCGTCGATGAACTTTACACCTTTCCATGCGACAGAGAGAATGACATCTGGCAACTTCTGCATGTTCTCCGTAGAGGTCTGGGGTGGAACCGGAATGGGAGTATGAGGAATGAGAGTATGTAAGGATGGTAGTATGGGGGGATGAGACAACCTCACCCTCAGTCTGAGACAGGCCTCTTCAGTAGATTGTATTCCTTTCACCTTCACCACTATCACACTCCCCAGGTACTGAGAGGGAGAGATACAATACTTAGTTTTACACACACCCCAAATGGGCTGACGAAGCTCTTCAAGCACTACATCATACATAAAAAGTGTATTTGTTGGTGTTTTGTAGGCTGATATGACTCTGATGTTGCCAACACACACTATACACTAACCAATAGCAGAGACTTACTTTGGCTTCGTAGTTGATCGTCTCGTTGACGAGGGACGCCACGCTGTGTCGCCATGACGACGAGGAGGAGATAAGGGAGTGAGGTCTGGGGTCTGTGTCATCTCGTCCCTGAGACTCCAGCGGAGGTCGGAGTTCAATTGGAGATATGGGAGAAGGCGGAGTCTGAAAGAGTGATTATAAATGTTTTTTTGACAGTGAAACTCCTAAAATTTCATAATTATTACAAAAGCTTGAATTTTTTTGCTGAAAGTTTTACTCATGTATATACCTGTTGCCGTAACGACGGCTGTATGGAGGTGTAGTCTCGAAAGAGAGAGGGTGTGGCAGTGGTCTGAGTGGGCGGAGTTTCCCTCCTTCTCCTCCTCCTCGTCTGGTCCCAGTGAGTGGGAGGTGAGGACCAGTCTGGGTGACTGCTACACAACTCTGATATTCCATACAGGAGTCTGCGACGGTGTCCTAGCAACTCCACCCCCACCACCTGGACACAAGAGGGTTAAACTCCGTAATTAACAGTGGGGAAAGGGTTAAGCAGAGTGGGGTTTTAAAATCAATATTGTGGGGGAAAAGAGTGTGGAGCAAGATAGAGAATGAGTTTGGAGCGAGAAGATGACAATGTTCAAAAGACTTACTGAGGTAAGTTCAATGTCCCACATTCTAGAGATTTTCTGGAGAGTCAGTCCCTCAAATTTATTGGATAATTGACTCAGTTGGAGTGCCTCTAGCCATTCCGTAACTGTGGACATGCCCCCTAGCAATGGGGGAGGAGGCAGGAGGTGTGACGTCGCCTGGAGCGTTCTATGGATCACATGACATTGGATGATATCACACGATGTAATAATGACATAACCACTCACAGCTGATCCTCTGGGCTGGTCACTCCAATGTCTTGTAAATCTTCAGCAATTAACAATCCTCCTCCCTATTAGGACATACATAGGTTGAGTTTAGGACAAAAATCTGGACGTCCTGAACTCACCAGGAAGAGAAGGCAGTCAAACCCGTTGGTCTCTAGGTTACTGGTGTATTTCTCCATGGCGTTGTCGGCCAGCCAGGAGTGAAGGTCAGCTGGGGGAGAGGAGGCTGCGAGGTTTTCTCTTGAAATACTGCCAGTCATGTCCTTTAGTAGAGAGTCAATCTAGGGAGGGAAAAGTAGCGAATGATTGTGTGTATACATGTATAAAAGAAAAGTACTAGAAAAGGGGGGGCCTATGTAGCTATACATGTGCGTGAGCTGCGGTGTACATGTATATTGGGAGAAAAAAAACACCCAACATCGCGATCTTACAGAAACACCCTCTCATGATGATTGTGGATGAAACTTGGTTGAGAAAACTAAGTGGGTGTGGCCTGCTGACCTGATTCCATTCTCGCTGGACTCGACAGTCATCCCAAATGGTCTCCGCCCTCTGTCGGCTGACCACACCCTCTTCTCTTCCCTCTCCCTCTTCGCCCACTGACAACGTTGCTGCTACTGATGATGACAGGACAAGTCCGGCAAAAGGTAAACCATTCAGTTCCATCATTTTTGTCAATGGCTCTTCGTCCCTCTCTTCCTTCCCTCCCACCCCCTTTACTGAACTCTTGGCACTTTCTTTCTTCACGTCACGAACGAAAGATTGTGCCCCTGCGGTATCCACTCTGTCAGTGGTTGCCGTAGCAACACAGATTTCAGCAGCCTCTCCATCGATTTTTGTCTTTTCTTTATCAACTGGTTTCTTATCACTGGCCTCATCAGTGTTAGCCCCACCCACTTCACTACGGGACGATCGTCTCTTCGGAAAGGTCACCGGTGTCATTTCGTATATCCGTTCCCTGCTTCTTCGTGTCCGTGGGAGACGACCTTCGACCCTTGGCGGACTGTCATTGTTGTGACGTTGGTCGTCAGTGGCAACATTAGCAGCTGCAATAAGTCGTTCCCTAGCAACATCACCTGTCATTGACTGCGATGGAAGACTAGTCGACATTCTTCGTGCCATTGCGGTATCATCGTGGCACCCCACCCCCTCCCCCCTACCACCAGGACCACTCGACTGTGGTATACCCATCGGAGACGACTTTTGTCGCTCGTGGCAACGCCTCATTCTAATATTCTCGTATTTCGGACCACTCGTCTTCTTTACCTCGACATTCTCATACTGAATGCCCTGAGGAGATGAAATGTTCTCGTAGCTTCTCGAACTGTCGCTTCGTTTCTTCCCACCTTTCTCTCCTTCTCCTTCTCTTTCCATGTGTGCCACGTCCAACATGTAGTAGGCAGCTGGCAAGTCTTCTCCCCCGGTCTCCTCCCCTCCCTTTCCTTCCTTCTCCCCTCCTTTGAAATTCCCTACCTCCAAAACGTAATACGAACCGAGAAAATCTTCCCCGTTGTTTGGTTGCCCGGCAACAGAAGGGGTGGGGCCATTGTGAGAGGTGGTGACTGCACCAGGAGACCCCGGTTGCCCGGGAAACGAGGCGAGGAATGCGGGACCGATGGGGTTAAGGCGAACGTTACCAGCTGAATCTGATTGGACGGCAGTAACAGGATCAATGGTAGAGAGTTCACAGTACGCGCCATCATCTTTCGACAGCTGGAATCTCTTTTCCTTCTTCGAGAGTTTCTTCATCTTCACCGGAAGAGGCACCGACTTATGGCGGCCACCTCGGCCCTCCAAACCAGGGGGGAGGAGCTCCTGGTTGCTATAGCGACGGTAATCTTTGTAAGTCTTGGCTGGGACGATGGGAGGAGTTTCGTTGTCGTCGTCATTGGTCACAGAGTGATAATTCATGTGGGTGTGGTCTTGTGAGGGGGAGGGGGGAGGAGGGAACATGTCATCGGGAGATTCAACTGGTACAAGTTGACCTCCGACCTCTGGCAGAAGGGGAAAAAGGACAAATCAACGAACACCCTTTTTCTACTGAGTTTGGAAATTTCGCAACTGTGCAGGAAATTATATTGTCACTACAAACCTCTATGAAAGACAACATCTTGGGAGAGGAAGGAACCAGTTTTGCCGTGAACAGACCCCTCGAACATGACCTTTGAACTCCGACTGATGACGGAGATGTGGTCCCCAGCAGAGAAGGCCAGAGCCGACGAACTTGCCGATGCCGGCGTATAGCCGTTCCTCGCCACGGCAACCATGTGGGGGGAAACCCCCGATGACGTCGTCTCTTCCTTGTGTTCTGAGGATTAACATCATCACAATTATTAAATGTTCAAATTATCAATTACTCCTACATGTATACCTTCAATAAGCTTGGTGATTTCGCGAGCCCTCTCAGCAGGGAACTCCCTCAGGGCCTCGAGGACGGACTTGCTGGCTCTGTCTCTCGTCTCAACGCTGGCCCCCTTGTCCAGCAACATCTTCACCGTCTCAGGTTTGCCAAACAGAGCCGCCTCGTGGAGAGGTGTCCCGTGCTCGCCCTGATCAAAGATGAAACAAGAGAGATATCGCTATTGACAACTGCTTTATGTGGAGGAACGGCACATTCAAAATCCCCCAATGTACGTACACAATTGGTTACCATGACGTTGACGGAGATCCCGGCGTTGATAAGAGAGAGGGCGACAAGGGTGTGCCCATTCCTGGCGGCGAGATGAAGAGGAGAGAATTTCCCCCTGGAGAGACTCAGTAGCTCGGGGCAGTGGGAGATCAGCAGGTGAACCTGCCACATGATATCCTATAGTTATCAGCGTGCTGAGAAGGACCTAGCTAGTGCAGAGTGCAGAAATATTATCTTGCGTATTGTGTAATTATGGTATGGACAGCTGAGCAAAAATTCCTGGAAAAAAATTGTGTAATTGATGATGACTAGATGGGCCCGACTTTGGATGGCGGTTGTCCCAATGGTATATACTCACTGTATCCAGGTGACCATACTGAGCAGCCAGGTCCAGCGGAGTCTCTCCCTGACAGTTGTGGAGGATGGGGTCTGCGTGACGCTGGGAGAGAGAGAGAGAGAGAGATATAATTTCATGACTAATACAGTGGAACTCCTCTAATCAGGACACCAATGGAACAGAAGATAATATTAGTGAGGTGTCCTTCCACTCACAAAATGCTTACATTTTTTGCACACAACCAGAATATTTTCAGAGGGAGAGATAGCATTGCTATTCCAACCTCCAACTATAGTCTATTTACCATGGATGGTTGGTTTGTCATTTCGTTTTCTCGCGTGCCTACAAAAAATGCAAAACCGTTCAAACCCTTACTTGGAAGGGAGACAGTTAAGTAAAGAAGAGGTGAGATAGTGAGAGATAGCACTGCCATTCCAACCTCCAACTATAGTCTATCTACTGTGGATGGTTGGTTTGTCATTTCGTTTTCTCGCGTGCCTACAAAAAATGCAAAACCGTTCTACCTCACCTGCAGAAGGTAATCAACAACAGCAGAGTATCCATACTGTGCCGCCAGGTGAAGAGGAGTGTTGTCAGTATCGTTCTGTTGGTTGACATTGGCACGGGACGGCCCCTGGCTGACGAGCACCCTGACGACCTCCAAGTCTCCCTTCCATGCCGCCAGATGGAGTGGACCGGAGCCTGAGCAGTCTGGAATGGTGGTCGACGCCCCACACCGCAGCAACAGGCGAACTGTCTCACTATGAACATGATGTATTTATGATGTCATTAGTGTGAGGGAGAGTACAGATAGCAACAAGGTATATACAATGTTGGGGAGAGTGGATGATGTAATGATTACATCATTGATTACTCACCATTGTCCGTTGAGGGAGGCGTGGTGAAGCAGAGTGTAGCCTTGCTCATCCTGCATGTTGGGAGATGCTCCTTTCCTAAGACTGAGAGAGAGATGTCGTAATGTTGCTTGGAGATTCCCATGGCAGAATTTCCAAAGCTCACATGTTGACCCAACACCAATGGGACAAAAAAACAAATCCGCCTCCTTTTCTCAACACATAATAATGACTCTGTAAACCTCTTCCATCAATAGACGTTAGGGTTATTGAACAGAGTTGGTAGCAGTTGCTGGCTTTAGCAAAAACTGTTCATATTATCTCACGCTCTCCTAAGAGTAGCCAATGTTGGACAAACATGTGCATTTTGTACATTAGCAACATTTACAATACCATATCTCACTCAAATACACTGATATGTTGACACTGCATTTCCCAACACAGGCTATAGTGCATTGCCATGTTAGGTACAGCTACATAAGAACGCCCTGTCATCAAATTTCATTGTGAGTAACATAGGCCATAGTCACTACCATATAAAGTCAGTAACTAACCCAACCTCTATCTCTGAGACCAGGCGAATTCCATGGCATTGTGAAATCATAGAGATAATGCACAGTGTGTTCCACGGAGTTGGCATGGCAATTATCCAACTAAAATCAAAGGCTACACCCCCCTATATAGAACTCTGAACAAGGGACATCCAAGTTGTCCTGCATTCCTTCTCTTATTCAGAAGTACATATCAGTATGGGGGAGAAAAAATTGTCCCTTATAGAGGTGTTCTTTATATAGAGAGTCTGTCTAGGAGGATCTAGTGTATACCTAACTCCAGATGACTGTTTTTTCCCTCTCCCTCTTGTTGGAGGCGTGTCTTTGTCGCTGGCCAGGAAGGTGGCGAATGCTTTCTCCAGGAACTCAGTGTTCCCATTCTGTGCAGCCTTGAAGAGCTCCGAATCTCTCCCCATGTTGCTAGGCGTCTCCAGGGGGCGTGGCTTGTCGGAGGGACAACAAAGAGGGGCAGTGGTGCTAATATGTGGTAATGAAAGTCACGAGCTGTTTAAGTTATACTAAACCACAGGTTTACGCTATTTGTAAGCATGTAAACACGAATGTTAGTAAACATTCTTACAGAAGCATGTTCCGCCCCTTTTCCACGTTCAAACATGAACCTCTTACCCGCTTGTTGATCTCCTTGTGTTCTCTCTGGTGACAAACTAGCGGCCTCCCTCAATCGCCTCCAAGAAAAAGACGAATGTCCTCCTTTTCTTGCCCCGGAAACTGCGAATCCGTAACGGTATAGAGTCCGACGGAAGAAATTACGCGTGTGGCTCCGTCAGTACCGTTATTCGGCTGCAAACAATCCTCGACCTCTCGCCGAGGCAGCTAGCTAAAAACTCCGCTTGGCACGCACTTGCCCGACCCAAAATCGCTGCGGGATTGCGTCACGTGGCGCACACGTGAAACTAACTCCACCCTCTGATCCTCGCACGCACTCGCGAGTAGCACGAGTGTAAGAACATGGAGAACACGTGATCTACACGTTCGCACGCTCGCGAGTATTGCGAGAGGTAAGAGTGTGACCTTTGCACTGGAGCTCCTGGACGAGCGCCAGAGAAAACATATAACCGGGTGGTGCAGTAACCGCAGTTTTCCGCGGCTCCCTTTCTCCGTACTCTGTCGACATCTCCGTCGATCCACGTCCTGCGGCTGGGAAGAAGGTGCGGGGAAACTGCGAGGAGACGGGCCCGGGGCCTTTTTAACGGCTGCACGAGGGAGCTCCGAGCGAGTAAACGAGCCGTCTACAAGTAAACAACGACGATTTTACAAGCCGTGAAGCCAGGCTCGTGAAGGAACTAAAGCGGCTGGAGGACGCCGGAATCGAGCTCGCGATCGCAGGTTCTTAGTTTGCTGCACTGAAGCAGTTTCGCAACCTCTCATCCTCATTATTGCCCTAATGACAGCTGGTTCTACCTCCATGATCTGAGAAAACAGCTCCTTCGCCCACGAAACTCAATTCGTCTGCATTGGAACTCCTCACAGAGAGAAGCACAGAGATATAAGAAGACACAACTTGTGGTTGCAGCTGGTCGGTTGGTATGGCGATGAGAAAGTTTGTTCGAAGGTTCAGCAGTGCGAGCCTGGACATGGTGCCCCAGGGGAAGAAAGACAGCCGAGAAAGAAGTGTGTCCGAGCTTGTCGAGTCCTCGGAGAGCGTAAAGATATCGCCGGATTCGAACCTGGAATATCTCGGGTACACGTACGTGAAGGACGCTCGGTCGCTAAGGGAGATACAAACGGCAATTCGGACAGTCAAACAGACATCTCTGAACAGAGACCACTGGGTGGGGTTGGTCGTCAAGGCAGGGATGTTGCTGGTCCAGGACATGACGGGAGAGATGCTGATTATGAGCTCTGTGGCTTGTATAGCACAGTGTGTGTGTGAACTGAACCGTGCTCTCAACGACTGTCTAGCCGTCACTTTCAGCTCTGGACACAACGCAAAACAGTGCCACGTATTCCAGGCCAAGTCAGCCCGAGAGGTAAGCCGTCTATCGTAACCATCACACTTACTGTATATGTTATGGGGAAAAGCATAATAGCTGCAGTATGCTGATGTATTGTTGAATTCAGTGCACTGATTTTTTCTGCTTCATTTAACACAGTCTATTGTGATAGAGACTTAGCTCATATTTCAGTCACTCAGTTACCAAGCGAGTACTATAATTTGTATGTAGGTTGTTGCCTCAGAAGTATACTTTTGAAGGTATAATGAATGTACTACTGTAGTACAGCTGTAATAATACCATCCTCCCCCAGTTGCAATGTATGGCTGTTGTTGCTGTTGTTGGAGTGGGAGGCTGGCCTACACAAGCGTAATGTAATTACTCAATTTTGGTATAGGAATTGTCCTCCACTGACTACAAGAGAGAGATGAGGATAGATAGGGAGTGAGGATATAGCCAGGGAGTGAGAGAGAGAGAGGGAAATGGGAACCAATAACAATGCTTGTTTTCTGGGGAAAAACTCCCACATAGAAAGTGAAAAACAAAACTGTTTGTGCACAGCCCTGGTGAGCGAGATTTTAATGCGTTTGCCAAATCCTCAACTTCTTAAAAATGTGTTTGGATTCAAAAATCATGCAATATTCTGAAGGTTATAGTCACAATAAAGGAAGTTCTTCCATATGTTCCGTGACTGCTCAAAGCCATCGCCGTGGTTACCTGTCCTCTTTGTGTTTGTTATCTTGTGAGGAATTGCCGTGTACTTTGCCCTGTCAGCGAAGGTGCCCCAATGTAAGTGACTCCATATTTGGAAACCTCCACGAGGGCTTGCTTCTTCTTCTTCATGTCTCAGTCATCTGACTATCATGTGACGTTTTTTAAAAGTATCCTTTATATTTTTTTGAAACACCATTAGTATGGGACAGAACCAAGTGTCCTTTATAGAGAGGTGCCATTTATTCTCACCAAGCAACCAGTTCTTCACACATCCATAAAAATATGTCATAGAAACTGTTTAAATAGGGGTAGTCATAGCAACCATTGAAGCTGCTGAATAGCGTAATTTCCAAGGTGAATGGAGTGGCTTCAGTGTACAGAGAATTAAGCCTATGTTTGTACCTCAGTCACCAGAGGACAATACTCGTGTAAAGATGTTCTCTTTGTTCGTCCATTCACAAGCTTTCAGGTACTTTTTGCTGTTTCCTTGTCACCTCCACCGGGCAATAACAGTTGCTAGAATGGCATGTTGTGTGTACATAGTGTTGTTTTCAGTGTTCAGCCTTGCTTGGGGTCTGTGCACACGGTTATATGTCTGGAGGCGTGTTTACACAGTGGGTACTACGGCAACAAGAGAGTAAACAGTTGGTGTATGCAAATGAAAACTCAGTTTCCTAACTGGTCCCCAAGATAGTGATAACATGTCCCCAAGAGACTACAACCCCCTTGCACACGCGGGTAGTGTGTATACAGCCAGGCTGTCCGTCTGTGTGTGCCAATGTTCCATATGTTGATGACCATGTCTGATAATGCTCGCCTCAAACATGGAATGTAAACATTCCCAATACCAATAGCATGTTTACATGTAATAGTCATGTAATAGGCACGTATACTATACAACGTGTACTGTAATTACACCGTTTGTATGGTGCGCGGTGAATGCTGGGGTGCTTGTATTAGCTGCCTTATTTGGGAGCTGTGTACATGAAGCAAGGCTTGGTTTAAAAGTGGCAGTACCCACACGCGCACGTAAGGAGCCATCATGACAGGGTTGGTGAAAGTTTGGGCAAAAGGTTGACTCATACAGAGCAAGGCAGAGCACTCTGTGTTCTAGACAACTAGCTCAGCTGGCTGGGTTGAACTACAAGTTGTAATAAAAACACGCTTTGATATCAAAAGTGTGCGTAGCTGTGTGTGCAGTCACTCCGTGTAATGTGGTTTGAGAGAGTTGCAGCTGCAATTAGCTGCAGTTAGAGCCTGCGACAAACAGCTGCATCGCTATAGCGAGAGAGAGAGTGTCTGAGTATCTGACTGTCATGGCGGTGTGGGGAGCTTCCGTGCCAATTGCTTGTGTTCTGACTGCCAGCTACCTCTTTGCCTACTCCACTGTACTTACGTTGCCAAGATACACTGGTAATCACATACATCGGTTTATAATTGGCATGGCGATTGATTATGTAATGCAGAAATGAGTATTCTTACTTGCGCCGTCCTTTCTTGGCTCCGCCCATTGTTCTGGGTGTGTGAGCTATATATAGTACTGCTGTACATTGTGAGCAGTGGAACCACTCTCTGAGGACACCATGAAATGGGGACACCTCTCTAATATCCTCTTTCTCCCTCTAAAGGCGTCGGAGTTGGTTCACAATGTGCAGAAGGCCACCAGAGCATCGCAGAGACCTCGGGTCAGAGGTCAGAGTGAAATGATGGCACCACTGAAGAGCCCAAAACAAGTAACTGAACTACAGTATGATAATATGATGACCATTCTATTATTATACCATTTTCATAATGCAAAGATTCACAATTGACACTGACCATTTGTGCCTTCGTTTCAATCATGTTCTTCTTTCTTTCACCCCTTCTCTTGTCTCTGCAGCTGGAGAAGAGTCCAAAGCTGGGTATGCATATGATGGAGACGAAGAGGGAGAAGTAATGGAACATAAGCCCATCTCCCACTCTCTCTCTCGCAATGAGAGTAAACGTATCCTCGTGCGACCACCGTCAGCAGAGTGCTCCACCTCCTCCGCCTATCTCGGTCAGTGGGCAAGGGGTTAATGATAGAAGTCATGTGACAGATCACATGATCCGTATCTTGTCTCTGTACAGACTCCCTGTCTCCCTACGGCAAATTCCACAACCATTCGGTGGGATTTATGACAACTCCTCCTAAAGGTACAAAATATTTATAAAATTTAAGTGCATTTTGGGTTTTTTTTACTTGACCATTTCATTATGTCAATAATTTTTCAACTTGGATCCGTAGGTAAAAAAATTTATGTACACAATTTTACATTTTTCATACCCTAGCATCTTCAACAATGTGAATAATTTCTAGTTTTTCTCATTCCTGACTGTGTTGCCAGGGAAACGGAGAGGGGCAGGGGGGAAGGGAGGGAGGCAACGAGATGCGAGAGAGCGTTTGGTCGTCAAGACAAAGAGGCCCAGATACTGAGTGCTGCTGATAAGGTCACGGAGAACAACGCTCAGCTGAGGACCAGTGCTAGGTTAGGTTGCCCAGGCAACTAGGATGATAATGATATTCATTGGCTTAGCACAGCTATGAATGGTATTCACACCTGTTGTAATGGTATTCATGGCATCAGAATATGACCACATGTTGTCAACACACGTGTGTTTTGTATTGGTGCATAATTTTTGCACAACACCTCTCTAATAAGGACACCTTTTCTTTCCGAAACAACAGTTCTTGCAACCACTGAACACTTAGGATTAGAGGGTTTCCACTGTATATCATTTCCTCTCCCATTTCTCTAGTAAAAGGACTCCCTCCAGCCCATTTGAAGATGCCCTCTACTCCATGCACGTATCCAATAGCGACCTCCTCTCCAACTACATCAAGAGCGGACACGTTCCCGTGGACGCATGTGACAGCTCGGGCAACAGTCTCCTTCACTACGCCGTTGCCATTGGCAACGTCGATGCCGTTAACAAAATCAATATGCAGCTGAAGTTTCTCTTAACTGTAAAAGTAAAAAAAAGGTCTACTTTGAACTATTAACCCGCCCAAAGGGGGGGAAGTAGGGGAACCCCTTTGGGCCAAAGGAGACGGAAG